AATAATTGATCCTTACAAGCATAATTTTGGAAAATTAGTTCAGAAAGTAAATACCTAATAATTGCCTGAATACCTATTCAACAACTTTATTAAAGGATCCAATAAACACAATCTTGATTTAAGACACAATCTTTTTCAAATACCTAGTCACAAAACTTCAAAATCTAAGGATTCGTTTATAGACCTATCTATAGAACTTTTGAATTCTTTAACATAATATTTAAATATCCAAACACATTTAATTTAGAGTACAAAAATTTGTTATTAACTGGTGTGATATGAAATTATAGGATTTAGTTTAATTAATATGTGATATGCAGAATAAAATAGATTTAATTTCTTAGTAGGTGGTATGGAAGAACGTCCTTACGAACGCAGCCTTTAATTGGATATTTGCTCCTCGAGTTCCATCCGCTCCCTCCCACCAGAGCTGCAAGATCTCAGAAAACTTAAATCGTTTTTTTGATTTAAATCGTTTTAATGACTTAAGTCATTTGGTAATAAGTCATTTCTCTAAAACTGACTTAAGACTTAAAATTTAAGTAATTTTTAAAATGATTTGTGACTTAAATATTTTTTCAAAATAGAAAAAATTTAAGTCATTAATAAAAGGCTTAAATCAGTACATACGATTTAAGTCAGATAGAAACGATTTAAGTCAAAAAAAAGAATTAAGTCTTTATAAAAGTCGGTAAATTATTTAAGTAATTTAAAAAGATTTAAGTCTTTTTAGAAAATATTTAAGTCAGATGTTTCATATATTTTTTGTAAATGTTTAACAGCGGCATTTTCTTTTGAACTGCCAGGGGTTCACGCGGCAGCAGATCAAAAACTCCTTTAATGTCCTACCTACAATTGCTACCGCTAGTGAATAAAAAAACCGCCGCGGTAAAGTTAGCTTTTCGGAACCGTTTGACGGCTACATTAAAAAGTATCCTGTCTAAAATGAATGAAAAAAAAAGTGGGGATTTATAATTTTGTTATTTTGTTTGCTAACATTCGTCGTATTATGCGTGCGTAGTTAGGTCTAATTTGTGATTATTAGTGGTAAGGACGAATAAATATTATAAAGACGTGTTTATATCATACAGGGTGTTTCGGTTTGTTTAAGTAAATAATTACGACAAAAAAAGTGATTGTGTGTGAATAAAATTATTCAAACGTGATTGTGCGTGAACGTGAGTAGTCTTAAATTATTACAGTCGTGAGTGGTCGTAAATCGTGAACAATAGTGAATCGGGAGTAGTCGTGAGCGATAGTGAGCAGTCGTAAATCTTGAGCGGCCGTGAATCAAGAGTTTGGAACCTCCCATCATTACTCCCTTAAGGGAGGAATATTTTTTTTCTAGATGGATGTTGAACCAGCTAACAAAAGTTAACAAAACAATAAGTTACCAGTTTTTGAAATACGGCGATTTTAAGAAAAATGCACACAGAGTATGAATCTATTACCGTTTAGAAGTTACCCACTTATGTATATAAAAAAGTAGCCTCCCTGTATGTCTACTCTAATAAAAAAGGTGGTTTAAGTTTTTATTTTGATTGTCTACTACATATATACTCAAAAAATGTGTTTGAAGTTTTTATTTTGTTTGTAAGTGAAAATAAATCGTTTTAAATTCTTAACATAGTGGTTTATTATCATCTGTATCTACAAGAGATTAATAATATCAGTACCATTAATACCATAAAATTATTATTAACAATTAAAAAATCGTTGTATTGACTTAAGGGTAATTATTTTGATTTAAATCACAATTTTTGATTCAAGTCATTTTATTGACTTAACTCTTAGATAACGATTTAAATAAAAAATATAGACTAAGTCATAAAAACGACTTACTAAAGGAATTAAGTCATAAGATGACTTAAATCAATTTATATTGATTTAAGAATTTGCGAAAATGACTTGACTTGAAGGAAAATGATTTAATTCAAAGACTTAATACTTAAATCATTTGAACTTTATCTTGGAATTGACTTAAGATTTAAATCATTTTGATTTTAGAATTGACTTAAGACTTAAGATTTAAGTCTTTTTAAAACTGACTTGTTGCAGCTCTGCCTCCCACCCAGTTTTTTTTATTATTTAAATAATAGACTTGTTGTCATATAGGCCGGTAAAGATGTCCGCGCATCTATATATATATGGTTATAACCATTTTTTGCTACCTCACAGCAAATTTTTAATGCAGCTTCTGTTACAAGCTTCACAAACTTTTTTACCGCTTGCGTGTGAAAGGGAAACTTGCCGAACCTTATATAGAAGTCGTCTGCTCGACTTATAAATATTTTTAGTTCTTTTATTTAAAAAAAACATTTACAAATTTATAAACATTTTTAACCCTAGAATTTGCCAAACCGCCAAATTTTTTACGTCAAACTCTAATATTGGACATTTTTTTGTAAAAATATTGTTAACATTTATGTAACATTTAGGTAACTTTTTGTGGCTACCCCAATTAATATATAAAAAAAAATATTGGGCCCCCGGGGCACCCTTAAATATTGGGCTAGTACGCTAATTTTTTTTCTACAAGTATTGTCAACATAATGTAACTTTTTGTTGCCACCCCAAACAAAATATAAAAAAATTATATTTTGGGCCCCCAGAGGGACCCTTAAATATTGGGCTAGTATGCTAATTTTTTTTTTACAAACTACCTTTGGCATAAGGAAACTTTTTTTTGCTACCCCTAAATTGAATTCAAAAAGTAATTTTTTCGGCCCACCCTAATATACAGGTATCTAGAGGCCAAAAATAAAATTTTTATTTGTTGAGCAAACATGCAAAAACCGATAAATCCATTTTTACATTAAAATTTTTAAGAGTATAGTACCGATTAATCGGTTTGATTTCCCATAAACTCACTTAAGTGAGTTTATGGGAAATCAAATGCTCTACAAAAAAGTCTTTTAACATTTTTGGCTAAATTCACTCCATCAAAAGTTATTCAAGGTTAAAGTTGAAGTCAAAACGAAATTCTTGTTTTTCCGCTGTAGATTTTTTTTGGATCAGTTAAAAACTTGAATTCTTTTATAGGTGATGATAATTTATGATAAAATTACTGAAAATTAAAAAAAAACACATTCGAATTTTTTCGCTTTAAGAAGCTATTTTCTTTCATGTTGTTATTGGAAATTGTTAATTAGTTATATAATACACATTTATAAAGAAAAAATCATGTGCAGCATCGTACACGTGGTAGAAGTGAAACTTCTTATAAACTAGGGAATGTGAGAAATTTTAGTTGTGTGTGTGTGTGTGTGTGTGTGTGTGTGTGAGAGAGAGAGAGAAAGAGAGAGGGACAATTTTAAAAGAAATATAACAGTATAAAATTTGTGTAAAAAATATTTTTTTAAACATACCAGAAACGCGTTACAAGTCCCTGGTTATTAGTGAGTAGTGACCGTCCCAGCACGCTGCGTAAGATTTTAATAACTCAAACACAACACCCCAACCAGTTCCCTACCCTTTCTCTAAGACATACAATTTAAGGCGTGGGAGGGCCATGTAAGGGAACTATTTCCCGGGCCCTAAAATCATCCCAACACGCGCCTGATCATGGTTTATTACAATTACTTTAATAATAAAATTTCATAAATACCTTAAATCATAGGGCAAAATTTATTAAACACAGACACTGCTTACCAGTGACTGCTATCTAATATAACTAGTAGCTATTAACTACTGATTAATTTCATCTGAAATAAATTTGAGAGCGCCACGCCTTTGTCTTTTGTCGGCTTTACACCGCGTTATTACAAATAAGCCGCATTATTATAAAATAATAAAAACAGTAGAATATTCGCTACTCTACCATACTCATAATTGTTTATTGTTTATTTGATTAATTTTTGGTAGAAATAAACCATTTGGTAACAATTTTTATTTTTGTAAGTAATTTTGCGCTAGAATATCGTTTATTTTACGAAAATATACATTTTCCAATAAACGCGACTTAAAAATAACACGTTTGTTCGATTATAAAAACTCGTATCTCGCTACTTAATTACTTTAGACATGTGCGGTTTTACCAGTTTTATTTTTAATAAAATTTTTTGTGTAAATGTTTAAAACCGAACGAAAGTTTTGTCGAAATGGTGTACAAAATACACCGGCGCGTGTAGTTTTCACCAAATTATTTGCCATCAAGAAATCACTTTATCCAGTTATATACTTTGTGTTGCTAAAATTACGTTTTCCGACTCGAAATGGGAACAATTGTTTTAAACCTTTGGATAACGTTATTGTTCTAATTGACGGAATAGAACTATCCGGATATTTAACTGAGAATAGGTCTCTTTTTTGACGTAGAGAATTGCCCACTAAAGACCAGCTTATCATGTCAATTTTCTCTTGCAATGTGTAGGACATTATAACTTATAATTTTAAAACGCTCGAAATACTCACTAGCAAATGCAAAACAAAACTGAATCCTCGCCTACGCCGGCAATCTGCTTACAATGCATCTGGGAAGGGGCATCTGGGGAGGGGCGATCGGATTCACTCGGGTTCACTCGTATAGCTATCTTTCTCCTTCTCTCTAGTCTCTAATAAATCTACAGAGGAAAAAACAAGAATTTCGTTTTGACTTCAACTTTAATTTTGAATAATTTTTGATTGAGTGAATTTAGCCAAAAATGTTAAGACTTTTTTTGTAGAGCATTGATTTTCCATAGGAATATCTATCGGTTTTTTTCCGGGTACTGATTTTTACATGAATAACAAAATTCCAAAGTTAAAAGATCAAATTGTAAAACTATACCAATTTTTAAGGCATGATTTTAAGGAAACGGTTCATCTGACGGAAAATTTCATTTAGGTCTTTTTAGATCATTCAATTTCCTTAAAAAAATATCTCTGAGTCAATTTTGGTATTATTATGGACTTAAACTTTCACAATCATTTTTTTTGTCATCCCAAACAATATTTTTGATATACTTTACAACAACAAAAATAGTCGATTTTTTTGGCTTAATCTATTGTTCATCTTTTAGCTGCAAGAAGAGTCGGATGTGTTTAGAACGTTGGTGGAACCATTAGAAGATCAAATAAAAGCTTTAAAAGAAAAACTCCGTTCCACAGACGAGCAGTTGCAAAAATGCAGGGAGTGCGGACATCACGACGATCAAACAGACGTAAGTACAAAATTCTTTTGCACCTTGTATTAACAGTGAGGGGACAATAACTGAATTCTGTAAAATTATTTATAGTATATCATATACAGGGTGTCCCAGAACTCGCGCCACAGAGAAAAAAGGGGCGTGCCGATAGCAATGGAGATGCCAAATTTAAAAATAAAAAATTTCTAGGTAATAGTGTAATCGAATGAGAGCAAAAAAGCGGCAGCCAATATCGAGAGATCTCGCCTAGGTTAAACGTAGGAGCTTTAAAAATTGCTAGGAGACGATAGAACATTGTTGTATTAAAAACATTTATAAATCTTTTGGCCAACTGTATTTACTAAGTTGTCAAAAGCTTTCAAAAAATGAGGTTATTAATCTATGACTGATACTTCAGAACGCCAATGTTTTAAAGTAAAAAATCAAACCAGTTGTACTTTATTTAGCTTTTTTGGGCCCACGCTCCCCATAAATAGTTATCATTTCGGTATAATCATCAAGGAAAACATTATGTATAATAACTTAATTTATTACCTAATATAATATTAATGACAAAAGTGAAGATTGACAGCATTGTCAATAATAACTTAATTTATAACCTAATATAATATTAATGACAGGAGTAAAGATTGACAGCAGTTTTACAATGAATTAAATTCCAGTGTACCAAATATTTTACACATTTTTTATCATCAACAATGCAACCTAAGTATCCTAGCAATTTAAAGAATTCCCTGTGGTGATCTATTGGGATTGGCTATCGTTTTTTATTCTTATCTCCCTTATCCTTTGCGTTGGACAATTTGAATTTTTAAATATGTGTTTCAAATTACTTTCGGTACGTTCCCTTTTTCTCTGTGGCGCGAGTTCTGGGACACCCTGTATATTCTTATTTTAGAACATAGAGTATAAACCTCTGATTGAAACTGACAGTGACAGTTGTAATAGTGACAGTGACAGGGCTAGGGCTAGTGAAAGTAGTGACAATGGTTCTTGGATTATATGTGACGATTTTCAGGTAGATTTTTTTTAAAATATAGGGACTTAATATCTATTTGTAAAGTGGAATAAAAAATGCAGGTTTCATTTATTCTGATAAACGTTTTTTCGTTTCATAAAACATTTGCTTATTAATTAATTGAGCTTAAAAATCATCATCCATTAGTGACGTCACAAATTTTCTGTTGTCTGCGGGTCTGTAAACATTTTTTCAACGTCGCTTGGGCCGGATTAAAACACATTCCTGCGATACGATACGCTGAAATTAAATGTTGTAGGAGAACAAATACAAGTCGCTATGACAAAATATTGAAAAAATTATAGGTTGTAGTAGTAGGGTGTTTCAAAATAAGGCAATATTTATCTTTTTTCAAATTCATGCGAAATTCTTGTCACTTATGCTGAAAAAAAAATTCTGTAAAAATTTGAGCTCTTAATATTAATTTTAAAAGGTCCATCATCGAATTTAATGTTTTTTCATGTTAAATCAATGGCAAAATTTTAAACTCACCTTTTAAAATTAATATTACAGACTGGACTCTGTAAGATTTTTTGTAGATAATTTAATGCTAATAAAGGACCAGTGATTGTTTATCAAAAAAAAAAGTTGTACATAGTATGTAGGCGAAATAAATCTTAAAAAATTATTTTTCCTTGTTAAATCAATGGGAAAATTTTAAATTTGATGATGGACCTTTTAAAATTAATATTACAGACTGGACTCTGTAAGATGTTTTGTAGATAATTTAATGCTTAAAAAGGACCAGTGATTGTTTATCAAAAAAAAAGTTTTACATAGCATGAAGGCGAAATAAATCTTAAAAAACTATTTTTCCATGTTTTAGAAAGATTAACAAAAATGTATATGCCAATTCCACAGTTATAAGTGCATATGAGAACTACTTTATCTACTCCAATAAGTAGAAAATTAAATGATTGTTAGGCAGGGAATTTATAATAATAATAATAATAATAATAATAATAAAAAACTTTATTGGAAATCCAAATGGCCAACGACGAATTTATAATATTTATCATTATTCACGAAAAAAACTATATTATGCAATAGGAGTAGATATATCTACTATTATAATAGTATATTATTATACAAGAGATAATGCGCATAATCTCGAGTGTAATACTTTAAGAAGTAGATAATTAAATGATTTTCAAAAGTAAATAAAAAAAAATCTGACATCTGTCAAATGGTTAACCTCACTTTTTACAAATTTTAAATGAAATTATAGTCGCCTTCTCCCAATTTTAAACCCGATTGATTCAAATCACAGTGAATATTGAAATCGGCCAATTACTAATGCCTAACATTTTGAATAATGAGTTCATTATTCCCGTTGTTAGACAGGAAATTTATAATGTTTATCATTTTATACAGAAAAAAAAACAACAATATTATTTAATAGGAGTGGATAATAGTATATTCTGTAACAAGTTTGGAATACGGCATATTCCGCTCGAGTGAAAAGTTTGCCATACGAGCCGAAGGCGACTTTGACGGTTTCACGATAGGGGAATATGCAATTCCAAACGTGTTTTAGACTATACTTTTTCTACGTTTCCAAAAAATACCATAGAAAATAACACAGCCACACAAAAAAAAAAAAAGTCAGATACTTTTTACGAGACATATGTATTTCTATGTATTTTGACTCGCTGAATCCGAATCCGAGGTCAAAATAGGACCTTTCACGATTGGTTTTCGACATAACCTCAAAAAACCGGTTTTTCAAGTATAGAATGGCGAAACAAAGTTTCATTTTAGATTTCAAGCTGCTGAATTCATATATAGTATCAGTTTTGTGATATGACAAGAAAATCTAGAACATATCCTCAAAACATAATTGTCTGAGCAGTGCTTTGCAGGACTGAGTGAGTATGCAGAACTATATAGAAACCATCTCATTCGCAGACAGCTATCTAATCAACTGCTCTAAATTCTACTAATCCAATAATAAAAGTATGTTCTCCTAAAAAATGATTTAAAATTCACTGATTTTGATCCACCGAGGTGATTTATGAAAAACAAACGCTAGCTCGACTTATATATCGGATTCGATTCCTGAGTACGGAAATCTTACTTAGTCCTGCAGAGCACCGCTCAAACAACTACGTTTTGAGATTATGATTTAGATTCTATAGTTATATTATAAAACTGATGCTACGAGGGTGGTTCAAATATAAACCGGAATTTTGCTATAAAATTTTTTATTATTAAGTTACAGAGCTGAATTTTTTTACAATTTTTCTAGATTGTCTCCGTCACACTCTACACACTTTTGCCACCTCTCCGGAAGCTTTCGGATGCCTTGTTCGTAAAAATCTCTCGGCTTGTCACGTAACCATTCGCGCACGAAGTATTCTACCTCCGCATTGCTTTCGAATCGCAGTCCGCCAAGTGCCTCTTTCAATGGACCGAACAAATACTAGTCGCATGGCGACAAATCGGGACTATAAGAAGGGTGTTCCAGTGTTTCCCAACCCAATTCGTTCAAAGTTTTCATCAAACTTTCCAGCGTGTGAATTTCTGATCAAAATTCAGAAGTCTTGGCACCCATCTGGCTGAAATTTTGCGGTAACCGAGCCGTTTATGAATTATTTGCTCAATACTACCTACGCTGATGCCCAATTCTTCAGCCATATCGCGAACAGTACTGCGTCGGTCTTCCAAAATGAGTTTTTCTACAGCGCTGACGTTCTCATCTGTAACACTTGTTTTGGGGCGCCGCGCATATGGCAAGTTTGCCACCACTTTTCGGCCTTTTCGCAAAGCGGAACACCATTCATACACTTGAGTCTTGGAGAGGCACTCATCCCCTAACTGCTCGAGTAATTTTTGATAAATTTCCGCGGATTTTACATTATCTTTCACCAAAATACGAATAATGATGCGTTGCGCAACAGGCACTGGTACATCCTTCTCGCTCATGGCTATAACTACACTGAAAAGCGAGGTTACACAGTCCCGGCTATTCTCTACGCTTCGTAACAGACCAGTCTAACATCCAGTGCAGCCACTTTTACGATACTAAATTTTTAGCGCGTTTATTAAAAAATTCCGGTTTATATTTGAACCACCCTCGTATATATGAATTCAGCAGCTTGAAATCTAAAATCAAACTTTGTTTCGCCATTCTATACTTGAAAAACCGGTTTTTTGAGGTTATGTCGAAAACCAATCGTGAAAGGTCCTATTTTGACCTCGGATTCGGATTCAGCGAGTCAAAATACATAGAAATACATATGTCTCGTAAAAAGTATCTGACTTTTTTTTTTTTTGTGTGGCTGTGTAATTTAATTGGGAGAAAGTGAGGTTGGATCTGTCTAAAAGTATAGATCATATTCATAGATTAGATCTAAAAATAAAATTATTAAAACTTGGTTGCATATTAAAATTTCCTAAACAAGATAAAACAAATTGCTTTAAATCTTACATTTTATGTCAAAAAATTGGTTGAAAATAACATTTCAAACTTAATTAACCACTAAAAAATCCGCATTTTTTATTTTTAATATTTGAAAGTCAGAGCGAGACCGGCCCCTTTTTTTTGGTGTTGCCAAATTTCCAATAAAATCCCATAACCTGGGAATTACTCAAAATCTTCAGGATACCTTCATAAAGTCGTTTTAAACAATTTATTTTTAAAAGATAAAAGAAATTTTGACAAATATTTTTTTTTTAATTTTGTTTTAAAAGTAAATCAAGGTCACTAAATACCATTTTGACATAAAGGGCATTAAGAAAATTTTGGTTTATGGATACCCAAGTGACCACTCGTTTTATAGTAAGTAAATCAAAATCCAATTTTATCAAAACACTTCATCTACAACCTACAATTTATGGGCGTTTTAAATTATAAAATAAAAAAAAAATAAAAATAAACTTTATTGGATTACTCGAAAAGGCGACCCATTTGCAATAAATATTCCTTTACAACACATTTATAATATTTAAAATATACTGATATAGTTTACAAAAAACACAAAAATAAATCAATGTTCTTATTAGATGCTTAGCCCTTAGCTTCAGTGTTCTCAGGATTTGTTTGGTATATCAACGGTTCCATCACAGTGAAGTTATGATTTTTATTTGCACATTTTTTTGTTTTGTTTTTTTGGATGGGTTAAATAAAGGGTTTTGGAGGTGTCGAATTTTTGTGATTTTCCTCAGACTTCTACGTTCTCCTATCTCGATGTTTGAGAGGGTCGGTTTTCTGCAACTTTGAAATGCAGATCCATATTCCAGCACTAGCCGACAGATTAGTTTATAAATGGATGCAGCCGTTTTAATATTTATGCCCTGGTCTTAATATCTAAGGCTTCTAAATTGTTTTGCCCTATTTACAATACTTTTCTTGGACTTGATAGTATGTTGTTGAAAGTTTAGATTGTCTATCATAATTCCCAGGCAACGAGTCGTTACTAACGACGCACAGTGGTCGGAAATCCCAAAAAGCTGGCCAAAACTCGAAAATGTTGTAATTTTGCGTAAAATTTTTTTATACCAGGGTTTTTGGGGTCGCTGATTACGCATTTTATGTAAGTATTTAAAAAACCAAATGGCGGATACAAAATGGCGGAGTTGTTTCATGACTTGTAATGGAAAGGACCCGGTCTACGTTGTGTTTAATTAATTTACCCTTTAATACCTATTTTTACCTTTAATTTGGCCTAGAATACGTCTAGCCCCGATTCGTCATAATAAAGTAGGAAGAGTGACAAACAATCAAACAAATATTTATAACCATATTATTTATTTATAGTAAAGAGAACAAAAGCAACTGCGGAAACCAATATTTCGTTTTCTACCCCTTTTTTTTTTAACAGTAAACTGCCAAGTTCGTTGACCTGGCGTCCGAGTCGGTATTTAAGCCGGAGGATTACGAGGAACCTGCCGAGAGTCATAAAATCAAGTCACAGTTACCCGGCTTTACGGGGGCTGATTATGGTAAAACCTTTTTTTATTATAAAAGTCAAATCGATGAACGGGTGTACTTCGTTTCTCGATTTACCGTGGGCTTGGGCCTCTTTTATTGTTTATCTTGTTGGCGATCATTACGATCGAGTGTTGCCTATGTTTATATTTTTATTGTTTTTTTTTATTATTTTTTTTTTTTTTATTTTGAAGTAGGTAGGTGTTTATTAGTACCTTTTCATCAGTACATATATCAACACTAGTCTCTGCGGAAGTGTGTTAATATTTATGAAGTTTTCTTTTTATATTGGGAAGGATTGCCTATGTTGGCTCTTTTATGTGGTTGCCTATAGCTTTTCGGTGGGAATCGTTTCAATGTTGGTGTTCGCATCGGTGGGCATAACCTTTTCCGTTGTTCCTACAGGATATCAGAAGGTACAGGATGTATTTTCAATGTAATATTATCACACTCCCAGGTTACACGAGATTAAACAGTATATTGACAGCCTCACAACTAGCGTTTAGTATACATGCAAGCAATTAATAATGCAAGGTGTCTCTATACTTTAAAGAAAATGTTGTATTGACTTCCGGTGCAGATCATACCGTCAATATATGCCTGATGTGGTATTTATTTGGTGGAAAAAGGAATACCTAGTTTAACATCACTAGTACTAGAGTGTTGTCACCTGATTTATCTGACTGTAGGCAGGTAGATATCCCGGTTCAATTAATTTTTATTTATGAATTTATTTATGAAATAGCTCTTACTCTCTTTACGTTGGAAAAACAATTACAATGATAACATGTCTTGGCATACCTGTAGTTTCGGGTCTACTTGTTGATTACGATCCTCAAATGATTAATAATAAACTTAATAAACTACTTGTTCACTGTTACTACACAACTACTAACAGGTGTCAGCACTCACGACGATAGGTTTTGAAATTAAATGTCACTGCAATTAATTGATTGTCCAGCAGGTGGCAACACATACACGCGGCGGGAATTTTAAACAAAGTTGAAGCGTTCGTACGATAGAGGGCGCGATGTCGCGGCGTCGGATTCAAATAAACAAGATGGCTACAACTGGCGTTACACACAAGTTTGAATTCGAGAACGGAGTTTTTGGAAAAACGTCCGCACGCAACCAGAACTGGAAACTCACTGCCCAAATCGCTTACGCAGCTTTGAATCATCCCCCTCTTATGTATCGTTCTTTGTCTTTCCCCAAAGTTGGAAAAAGTCAACCATATGTGTGACATGGCAAAATTAAGATAAAATCGTGTTTTAACATTTTTAAGTGGAAAAGACATTTGGGATAGATATTTTTGCCGTCTAGTATCCCAGTCAAATACCTAATAATTTTAAGTGTGCCCTTAGTCAACTTTTGTACTGGTTGATTGGTTTTTTTCGAAATATTGGTTTTTACAATAAAATATTTTAACAATTAGTATAGTACCGACTTCGGTACTACTTTAGAAAATAATACATACAAATTCCAGTTCAACTATTCGGTTTTTTGACCGATAATAAGATTAGGTACTGAAAACTTAAAACTAAATTACAACAATTGTATTGAGCATAACAATTAAAACTATTACTAACTTAATACTAACAAAGTTCACATTATTTAACTAACTAACTATTTAAATTATAAATTTTAATATTTACAATAAACTGTTTATTTATTCTCTAACAAAAGGGCGTCCCGTAGAGAGGTATACCTTCTTGCAAACATAATACGGGGGTACTCGTAGTACAGTGTAATAATATTTTCGTATAAGTTACCGATTTATTATTTATATAATTTAACTAATTTAATTTTGCATCTCAAACCCCGACACCCCCTGAATATTGAACTTGGAAGGGTCCCTTTTGCATTCCAAAGATCTTAAGTGGTTGTTTATCAGTATTGACATCACCAGATGTCATATATCTGTAGCAAACTTTACTTAGTTGGCTTATTTAGGCAAACAAAATTAAATATTATTTTGAAATTGAAAAATTGTATTACGGGTTTTATACTTTCAGGCGTTAGAGGAGTCCAACCTTTTCAGACTTATGATTTTTTTCAAACGAAAATAATAGTTCGGGGGTTTTTTCGGTCGCTGATTACGAATCTGATGTTAGTTTAAAAAAAAACAAAATGGCGGATACAAAATGGCGGAATGATTTCATTTCAGCAAAAATACTAATTTGGGGGTTCTCGTAATTGCTGATTACGAATTTAATATTAGTTTTTTAAACAACAAAATGGCGGAGTTGTTTCATGATTTTTATTAAACAAAAAAGTAGGTCAGGGGTTTTTTGGGGGTTTAAAGGGTTTCTTAGAAAAAAAAATCATGAAAGAAAAGCGGCTTTCATACGGTATCCATGAAACAAATTTTATTAACATGTTAATATTAAATAAAATAAAATCAAAACCCATCTTCATGTTTAAATTTAAAACTGAAAGTAAATCATGAATATATTTTGAAAAATCGTTAATACATTCGTTCAAGATTTTAATAAAGGACTTAAAAATGACCCGAACATGCATTGAAAATCGTCACCATTGATGAAGATCAAATGATGTTTATAATGAACACCCAGTATATACTATTTCGATTAAGAAACTACCGGTTCTCTATTGTTACGTCCAGCGAGCTCGGTTTTTCGGCGCTCGCAAGCTTTACTTCCTCCTGCGCTATTGCAATAAATAATTTTTTTCACTAAAAGGTGGACAAAGGTGGAAGTTCCGTCTGCGTCATTTAATTGTTTATACTTTTTTACACATGAAACAGTTTGCAACTGTTCCGGATCTCGCCGGATCACTACTATTTCGTTGCATTTATTCATGCTCCGTATGGAAATACAGAAATTTAAACATGTCAAATTTAAAGGTCTTGCCGCAAATTAAAAAACTCATGTTGCAACATTTGTAAATAATGTACAAACCTTCAGGAACATCCATTTTTCCGATCTCTTCACAACACTTTTACACGTTAAAATTCCGTTTCTTGTCGCGATGCATAAAAGTGAATAAACGCCAGAGTGACAGGTGTTCGTTAAAAGGGCGAACTTTGAAAGAACACGTACAGTCTAAAAGGCGATCTTATGCTCTGTCCCTTTGGATTTTACTACACTAACACCATCTATTCGAGATTTTGTTAAGATTTACCCTGAAAGGTAAATTTTGATTTTTGGGTTCTGGCCAGCTTTTTGGGATTTCTAACCACTGTGCGACGTGATGTTGATGACTACTCTGTGGGTAAAAGGCATAAGGGGATAAGTCAAAACAATCAATTTTTTAGTAGTGCCTTAAACGTGTTCGCATTAGTTTAGGAAATACATTTATGGTTAGCGGGTATATCCTTTTGCAAGCACATGTCATATGCTAGCAAAAGGGTATTCTCGCTAACCATAAATATATTTCCTGAATTAATGCGAACACGTTTAAGTCTCTACCGAAAAATTGCTTTTTTTGACTTATCCCCTTATGCCTTTTATCCACAGTACTGTACTTTGCATGATGTTGATAGTGGCTGAATTTGCTTTAATTTTATGGTGAAACAGTAAAAGGTGCTATGGACATCCATGCTGATACCTGGTCGGTTAGTTCCTGTAGTTTTACACTTGCTTCTGTTGTCGTTTTGCCATGGGTTATTAGAACTGTATCATCGGCAAATTGTATAATATACCTCTGGCCGTTTATTTTTTGTTATATTTTCCCACCTTTTCACGAATTCCCCTTTCAGAGATCCTCGCCGCACGGGCTGCTCTCCACCGCGGCCACCAACACCTCCTTCGAGGGCACCGGCAAAACGACCGCGCCCCCTTGCGACATGTGCTCGAACTACGAGGCGCAGCTGGTGCGCGAGCAGCAGCGAGCCGCCGAGCTGGCCGACAAGGCGGCCAGGGCGGAAAAAACCGCCGAGCGGCACAAGGAGGAGCTCTCGAAGGAGATCGGCTTCCGCAAGGAGATGGAGGAGAAGTGGAACGAGAAGAAGGAGCAGCACAAGCAACAGGTTGTCACCGAAATCGGTTTTCAAGAGTTCAACCGTTTTATTTATTGTTTTAGGTGGCTGAATTGACTCGGAGTACAGAGTGCACAGAGCAGGACCTGAAAGAACTGAAGGACTTTTACGATTTAACCGTGGCCGATTTAAGGCACAGCATCGCCCAACTGGGCAAAGAAAGGGAACAAATTTACGAAGAAATAACAAAGTGAGTACCATAATTATTAAAATGAACATTTTTCAGTTGTATTTTTTTAGATTACAGGAAGATAATGATTATTTTATCGGTCGATATTCGGTACATTCCGAAATACTGGAAAGGGAGGCTATAAACCTTCCAGATACAGTGGAGGTTAGTGGAATATAAATATATTTTTTCTGTCATACAATTTTAAAATAAAGTGTCTTTTTTATTATTACCTACTAAATGTGAAAATTATTTGATTATCTTGATGTCAGTATTTAAAAAATAAAAAAAAATTATGACAAAAATCAAAAAAGGCAAAAATATAAAAAAAAATTGGTTTGCAAAAAAAGAGGTCAAAAGTAAAACAACTACTAATTTTTAGGTATTTAATTTTTGATTTTTTTTAACTTTTTTCCCTTTTTTGATTTTTGCCATAATTTTTTTTTCTTATTTTTCGTTTTTTTACTTTTGACCACTTAAAAAAAATTTATTTTCCTTTTTCGATTTTTGCAATGTTGTTTTTTTATCCGAATATTTTAAAGTGAAAAAACCAACAAAAATGTTCTATTGCAAGAATAAAAAAAAATTTAATTAAATTAAATAAAAAAAATTTTTGGTTCGAAAAAAAAGTGGTCAAAAGTGAAAAAAACAAAAAACAAAACAAATTTGAAATTATTGTACATTTTATGTTTTTCTTCCTCTAGGAACTACACGAGTTGATTCTACGCAAACACCAAGAGTTGATAACGGAAAAAATCGGGAAAGAAACCGCGGAAAGTAAACTAAACACGCTGCAAAGTGAGCACGTTTTGCTCCAATCACAAATCGAAAGCGAAAGGGGTGTTTGGAAGGGTTTAGAGGGGAATCTATTGCAAGAAAATAGTCAACTGAAGTAAGTTTTATAATAATAATAATAATACTAGTACTGTTTTTTTCTCTCTCTAGAAAACACAGAAAAACTTTGGATAAAGAACTGGAAAAACTAAGGGAATCTGAAGTGACTTCTAAAGCTAAAATCGACGAACTAAACGAACGAATGGCCGAGTTAAAGGCAACTACGGTGTGTAATAGTTTTGCATTTCAATGATCTAGTATATAAAATTGTTTTTTTAGAAAAACATGGAAAACCAAACAAACGAACTGAAAACGCGTGCGCACTCTTTGCAAAAGGAACTGGACACCACAGAAACGGTCCAAAAGGATTTCGTCAGATTATCACAAAGTTTACAGGTAAAAACTAACATTTATTTATTCATTCATTTAACTTCGGACAATTTCCAGTCCTGGTGTAGCCCGAAAAAGTTTAATTTCTTATTTTAAATTTCGTGCTGCCAACTTAAGAAACACAAAAATATGTCAGTTTTAAACATTAATTTTGCCATTTTAACAACAAATTAACAATTTAAATTTTTACTTATATACTTTTTATGTTGTTTATTACTTTTTAATGATAATTTAACTTGTAATAAAGTATTATTTTTTGTTAATTGGTAAATAATTTTAAAACAATTGAACTAAGATTTCGGTCTGTTTAAATATGCGTTTCATTTCCTGAATTTCAATTGGTTTGAATTGGTAAATAATTTTAATTATTCCAATCGTTTTTATTCGGTTTCGTCATTTTCTGGTGAAAATGACCGGTGCCTAAATGACAGCTGCCCAAATGGCAACTGTCAAAATGACGGCTATTAAAGAAGAGGCGTCGAAATTACATCTGTTAAAATGACAGTTTTCCAAATGACGGGTGTCAAACTGACAGTTGCCGAAAAATCATTGTCCGTAAACATTAAGTTCATTTTTGATCTGGACTGCTGCAACATTAGAAATTTAGGGGTTTGGTTGGTAAATATGGAACCAAAATTGGTTATAAATGTAATTTTATATACACAGTGACTAGAGGCACGCTAACGTGCCGCGATTCGAAATTTTAAAGGCACGTTAGTTACGTCATAATAATAATAATAATGTAAGTGTTTTGTCATAGATAAGGGATAAGTTGGGTGGGCGGGGGGTTTAGTTAGATAGGCAACTTAGTATTAAAGTTTTGTTCCGTGACTACTGCGCCATCTAGCGGGTGTAGTCAAAAAGAGATATTCAAATTATTGGTGGCTGAATTGTATTATTTTGTTATCTCCAATATATAAATAATTTTAATATTTTTCTAGTGAAAGTTAAAAGAGGAATAATAAAACTACATTTTTGTAATTATTATTTTATTTTCCAAAGTTAAATACATATACTTAGACGCAAATGTTCAAAACACAACTTAAAATTACTCTACATCAGTCAATTAACTATAAACGTATCTAATAGAGGCAAATAAGTTTATCTAATTATTTCATTCCTAATCTAATTAATTTATAAGGTAAAATATATTTATAAAAATTAAAAACTATACAAATTTCAAGACTTACTGCTTAGAGGCAAATTTACATTTTCAAATTACACCCCGCGGGTGATTTTAACCCTTTTATGAAAATTTTTAAAGTTTAAAATGATTTTTTTTTGAGAATATTTTATAAAATATTCAGGCCAATTCACTAACATGAGTCGTTAACGTTAGCCACTAGATTTAGTGGTTATCGTTATATTTAAACGGCCTGATTGGTAGGATTGGCCGATAACCACTGATTCTAGTGGCTAACGTTAACGACTTATGTTAGTGAATTGGCCTGATTATAACCATATTTTGTACCATAGTTGAAATATTATCACAAAAATTCATTTTAAAGAATGGTTATAATTTTCTAACATAATTTTTCAAAATTATATATAAAGCCTAGATATAGGTATCCTTACATAAGATTAAAAATAATATAAAAAACTAGACATACCTCATCGTTTTTGGAAAATCGATGCATTTTTACCCTATCTCCCCTGCTTTTGCACTCGTTCACAACATGAATAAACCATAATAATTAATATGTTACACAATATAAACTTAAAAGGTTATAAGGACTTCACAAATTTAACACACACTTAAAAGTTTACAAAATGAAGTTATTTTTGAAAAGCTCATGTCTAATTATAATTATTATAAAAACTGTCATTAAGACAACGGTAGTCTCGGTGACAAAAACAACTTTGGCGACATTAGCGCCTCTGGCGAGTGTAGTCAAAACTTCCCAGCGGACAACCTTTTGTACAGTAAAGATGCACAACCATGTGTTTTGTTGGGTTGGGTTGGTTGGTTTGTTTTAGTTTTATCGTAACATAAAATCTACTAGAAGTTGTCGAACCTTTTTTATTTTTTTTATTTAATAAATTTGTTGTTCCTTTGTTAAAAAGTGTTGGGTTGGGTTGGTTTGGTTAGTTTGTTTTAGTTTTATCTTAACATAAAATCTTAAAATTGACGTAACTAACGTGCCTTTAACATTTCGAATCGCGGCACGTTAGCTTGCCTCTAGTCACAGCGTATATACAAGGTGTCCCTAAACTTAGTGGCATAAATTTAGGAGCAGATTAAGCAAGTCAAAATAAGACGAAAACCTAAATAAATATTTTTCCTAATTACTTATGTTTCCAAGATACAGGGTGATAAAGTGTTACCTATCATATCAGTTTTTTTAATATAACTTCTACTCTGGTAGTCTTGGAAAGGTGATATTTTGCGAACAGTCACTTACTACCAAAACACATATTCACACATAATTTCAATTGTTTGAGTGAACACAGTGTCGTAGAAACGGGGGTTGCTTTAAGCTTATTGTCCCATACAAACTTTGAGGTTAGGTTTTTATAACATTTGATACAATTTTTCGATTACACAGTTCGTCTACCATTAAAAAGGTGTACCTCTCAAACTTCGATAAAATAAACCGTTTCCGAGATATTCGAGATTACAATAATTGTTATATCGCATTATTTAAAAGGATTAAAAGGTATATGATAACAAATTTTATTTTTTAATTGAAAAAACTAAAAAACGGCATTCCATGAGCCTCGAGACTTTTTGCCCTGACCGTCACATTAAAAAAATTGTAGTTTTTTCAATTAAAAAATTTGTTATCATATACCTTTTAGTCCTTTAATGCGATATAACAATTATTGTAATCTAGGATATCTCGGAAACGGTTTATTTTATCAAAGTTTGAGAGGTATACCTTTTTAATAGTAGACGAACTGAGTAATCGAAAAAATGCATCAAATGGTATAAAAACCTAACCTCAAAGTTTGTATGGGACAATAAGCTTAAGCAACCCCTGTTTCTACGACACTGCGTTCACTCGAACAATTGAAGGGGTTAGAATAGAAAGGGTATAAGTGCAATTTCTTTAATTTAGGAGATAAGTTCGTTTTGTGAAAGATAAGGTTCCGACGTATCGAAATGAAAAGGATTTAAGTAATTTTCATACTTCTAGGGACCTCTATTATCCAGTAGAAAATTATTACTAAACAAAATTCTTCACTTTTTTATGGTAACATAACTTTAACTTCAAATATCTCCAAAAAATGAAAATGTTACTTATACCCTTTTTATTCTAACCCCTTCAATTGTTATTATGTGTGAATATGTATTTTGGTAGTAAGTGACTGTTCTCAAAATATCACCTTTCCACGTCTACCATAGTGTAAGTTATATTAAAAAAACTGATATGATAAGTAAACTTTATCACCCTGTATCTTTTAAACATACCTAATTAGGAAAAATATTTATTTAGATTTTCGTCTTATTTTGACTTGCTTAATCTGCTCCCAAATTTATGCCACTAAGTTTAGGGACACCTTGTATAATGTAATTGTGGTTATGTTTAAATTATTTTAGGTTACATTGAACGGTTGTCAAGTTGAGTTGTCAAAATTCGTAGTTAAAAATGCAATTAATTTGGCTTTGGTGGTGAGTAGATGAGTAAAATATAAAAAAGTAGTTAAATATAGGTGACTACGGCCCAGGAGAGACTAAGTATTCCTAGCGGATAATAATCTTCGCTTTGAAAAGAATTTAAAATTTTATATGAACACACGTGAATGTGGTCCAATCATTGGACTCCAGTGGTAAATGGGTATTTTGTTAAAGCCACTGGACGTTAATACTTGGAGTGGGTTAATAATAATTATAATATATATATTGTCCAGGACTATTAATGATCAGTTACTTGCAAATTGAAAGAAGAAAAAGTTTCTTGATTATTGCTTAATAAGCAATGCTTATTTTCAAAGAAAGGAAAATTAACTACTAGATTTTTCACAAAAAGGTTGAACCTAACTGCAAATAATTATTATTTATTGTTTTTTATTTCCCCTTTATTTTATAAAATTTCAAAAAATTTTGATCTGCTTAGCTGCAAATAATGTGTGATTTAATACTTGTAAAACCAAACATCTTACTTTTTTACTCCAAAAATGTCCATAAGGCGATGTACTTTTTCTGCCATTGAGTCATTTGGCATAACTTCATCGAAATCAAATTTTGCCCTTAAAAGTTCTTTTACTTTAGAATCTGATTTTACACTGCGCGTCAAAATTAACGCATAATAAGTAAAAATTCTTACTCTAAAACGCCTTTACCAATCTTTAGGAAATTGTTGTGTGTTCGAAGGTTTTTCGAGAAAATATTTTTAAAGCCCTTTTATTTAATAATAAAAAAATTCTTCGAAAAATAACTTTTAGGGAATTTTTTTAAGTAAATAAAAATTTTGCTGTTAAAGACCATATTTTTGTTAGTATACCCTGAAAATTTTGTACAAATCAAACGAACAGTAACGAAGATACAGCGCTTCAAAGACGGTAAAAATGACCCCTTTTTGATTATTTTGCTGAAAAGTGGTCATTTTTGACGACTTTGAAGCGCTGTATTTTCGTTACTGTTCAGGGTATACTTACAAAAATTCGGTATTTCACAGCACATTTTTTATTTACTTAAAAAAAATTCCCTATAAAGGTTTTTTTCGAGCGTTTTTTTTATTATTAAATAAAAGGGTTGTAAGGATATTTTTTCGAAAACCCCTTGAACACGTAAACTGAGATATAAGTTAAAGTATTTTTATCCAAAATTTTATAAAGATTGGTAAAGGCGTTTTAGAGTTAGAATTTTTTACTTATTATGCGTTAATTTTGACGCGCAGTGTATTTTTGGCATAGTTCGGGTTTACTCGAGTGTCTACAAACAAATAGAGATGGCTGCAGTAAAAATTAATTTATAAATGCGCCCGTCGTCTTTTATTAAATAATTTTTGATTCGAATTGAAAATTATTATAAAAAAGCAATATTTTATAAAAAAATTCTTTTTAAAAAAAATTATTTTATAAAAAAATAATTTTATAAAAAATAATTTTATAAAAAAATTATTTTATAAAATTTTTTACAAAAAAAAAATATTTTATAAAAAAATTATTTTATAAAAAATAATTTTATAAAATTTTGTACAAAAAAATTTTTTTTATAAAAAAATTATTTTATAAAAAAATTATTTGGTAAAGCATATAATTAATTATTTATAAAACAAAATAAGTTTATTTAGCACTTTTAATTTTGACACAAACGGCGCCTCATAAAAAAGCCTTAAGGCTCATCAATTGATAATATTAATAATAATATGAAAATTAAACTTTGACGTTGAATAACTTTTAAACAAATAGATTAATGGAAAAATTATAAGAGACCTTTTTTGAAGAGCGTTAAATTCTCTATAAAAATATGTATGATTTGTAATTTTTAATTCATTCGTTCCCAAGTTATAAAATTATAAACAACAAAAGTAATTTTTCCTATGTTATTTCCATAGGAAACTTAGAGTTAATATTAAGAGCTAAAATTTTCAGGGAATTCTTTTTTATCAATTTGGAAATTTGAAAATAACCTTATTAAGGACCACCCTAATGTATATACCTCTTCAAATAAAAAAATAGCGAAAAGTGATTTTGTAACTTTCGTTTTTAGATGCAGCTGGAAAAGATCCGGGAGTCGGACACCGCGGTCCGGTGGCAGCACGAAGAGGACGTGGACGAGTGCCCCACCTGCCGATCGGGATTTTCCGGCTCGAAAAGGAAACTGCATTGCCGGCACTGCGGCCAGATTTTCTGCGTGCCCTGCCTGTCCAGGGCCGTACCTTCTGGCCCCAGTCAGCGCCCCTCCAAAGTCTGTGATGTGTGCTACACCCTGCTAGTCAAAAGTTCTGCCCCCTATTTCAGCGAAGCTCCCCCGCCCATGACTTAAATGTTACTGCTAGGGTTGGTTATTTAATAAATTAAAATTATATTATATATATTCCTTTTATCGCATACGCATATTTAAGAGTCTAAAATAAAAATGTTTCAACTTTAAACGACTTTTATTAAGAAAAAACTGATATTTAAAAAAGGTTTTTTTATAACGGAAAATTCAATTTATATAATATTGCTTTGTTTTCAAAAATTATATTTTTTTAACAAAACAAAGTATTTTTTATACAAGTAAAAGTTTCAATTACATTGATTAATTTTTCAGCAAAAACTATAGCATTTTGATAATTTTTCGGTTTCGGACGTTTTTAGTATATATTAGGCAATAAAATTATAAATTTAGTTCTCAAATTCGCCACCACTACGTAAATTGTGCGTAAAAAATACAAAGAAAAGAAAAACTTAAGCATTCCTAAAATATTAAGGCCCAGTTTATTCACCTTTCACTAAATTTACCCAATGCTTAATTGTCATAGTTACAATTGTCTCAAAAATGGTAACCATGACAGTTATCCATCCTGTAAATTTGAAGGGAGGTGAATATACTGGCCCTAAAACTAATATATAATCATAATTTTTGTACATTTAGATTACCCCTCGTAAACAGTAGTTAAAATGACACTTTCAAGCGCGTTCATAGTAAAAATTACGAAATAAAATTAAAAAATTAGTTCCAATCACCACGTAAATTGTGCGTAAAAAAATACAAAGAAAAAAATAGGCATTCTTGAAATATTAAAACTAATAAAATTTATATTTAATATTAATCGTACTTTTAGTGTATTTAGATCGTAAACAGTAGTTTAAATGACTCGTTAACGTCAAAAGTGAAAGGTAGTGAATAACATTTAATGATTTTTCAGCATAAACTCTACATATTTCGGTTTTAGACGTTTTTAATAAAAATTACAAAAAAAAAAAAAAAATTTATTCCAAATTTGCCACCACTACGTAAACTGTGCCTAAAAATACATAGAAAAGATGAAAGTAATACTTTTTGTGTATTTAGATTACCCCTCGTAAACAGTAGTTTAAATGACCCGTTAACGTCAAAAGTGGGAGGTTATGAATGACGTGTGGAACGTCAACACAAACAAACTAGTGTTATTATTTTCCCAAAAATGAACATATTCGAAGAAAAAAACTCGGAAATAAAGATAAAACTAGAAAAGGTAAGCCCAAAACTCAATTTTGACTATCATGTAGCTCTGAAAATTGTAGGAGCAAGAGAATTTGAAATTGTTGCAAGAACGCCTTAACAAGAGTAAAGAAATAACCAACGGTATAGGCGGTATACTTAATTCGTTCGAGCAGAGATTGTCGAGGTTAGAAGACACGATTTTGCCGGTTTACAATGATACAGAACGGCTGCAGAAAGGCCAGCACAGTAGGTTATAATTGTGGTAACAATATTGTCTTAATTCTTTTATTTTAGACATTGATCAAACGTTGAGGTTATTGGACAACGTTATTAGTTATTATGAGGTATCCAGTGAAGTAGAAAATGTTATTGAGAAAGGACCTGGGGAAGGCGCAGTTGATTTACAGACTTACTTGGAGTCATTGAAACGACTTGCTAATGCACAAAAATATTTTGAGAAAAATATATCTCAAAGTGTTGAATTGATAAATGTTGTAAGTATTTTAAGTTTAATGTAGAAAAAAACGTACAATTTAGTGTTTTAGTCATCATTTTTTCATAAGGGTAATGATAAGTTAAACTGTGAATTCAAAACGATTCTTGATAAATATAATGCACCTTTATTGCCAGTAGTTCTATTGGATTTAATGAGTGAAGGTATTTATATTAATTAGATCTTGTACCTTAACATCAAAAATTAATAATTTTTTTTTAAAGATATTTCAAGTAAAGAACAGAAACCTCTGCCATCTCAAATTCCCCAAAATGCCAAAGAAAACCTGGTGAAAATAGCGAAATGGCTTCTTGAAAATAATCGGGACGAGTTTTTAACTGTGTATGGTAAAGTTCGCGGTAGTTGCCTTCAAAAATCCCTAACTTTACTAAGAAATCACCAAAAATCTGTTAGTGGAGGCAGTGTACATGGAGTAAGCAGTTCTCCAATGTTGGTAAGAATTGTTTTTATATTATTCGAACGAGTCGCCACTGATATAATTTTTTTTATAGAAGCCCAAGTTTCAAAATAGACATGAAGCTTCAAGGAAACCTTCAACAAGAAGGCTTCAAAATGTTTTTGAGAGGAAAGCCAACAAAATGTTTTTGAAAGCTTCACAGACACTGGAGCATTCCACAGGGTTGAGTTTGGGGGCTAGAAGGGCTTCTCATTTAGGTAAATTATTTTATTAAATTTGGTTTTTAGTGTTGCTTACCAAATTACCAAAACTAACATAATAACTGCCAAAGTTTCTAAAAATTCCTCTAAATTTATCTTAAAACTGACATAATGGTAAAAATTACCATAAAAATACCTAAAACATACTAAACAGTTAAAATTACTACAAAATATTAAAAAATTGACCTTAAATTAATTAATTCTCTTAATTTATCTTAAAACATTTTAAATAGCAATAGCAAAAACTACCTTAAATTTACCGGTCTAAGTAGTTAAATTTATTTGTTTTTTAATTTTAATTTATATCTTAAAAGTTCCAAAATAGCTAAAATTACAAAAAAAACTTACTCTTAAATTGCAAAAAATACTTGAAAATTACCATAGAATTTTTAAACTTACCTAACCGAATTTCTATTAATTTACCAAAAAATCTAAAATTAAGCAAATTCTTAATTTATCTAAAACCATTGTTTTTAGACATAAAAACAATGTTTTAACCCAATAAATACTTGAATTTACAAAAAAATACTTACAATTTTTTCAATTTATCTTGAACTTTCTAAATAGTTAAAATTACAAACAAATACCCAATCAAAAAATACCTTAAATTTAATAAATATTTTCCAAAATTACGCGAATTTCTTTTAATTTATCTTAATACTTCTAAATTACAAAAATCCTTAAACCCCCTAAATACTTAAATTTACAAAAAAATATTTAAAATTGACGATATTTTTCGAAAATTAAGCAAATTCCTTTTATTCATCTTAAAACATGAAATTACTTCAAAAAATTTAATAAATAAATAAAAATGACCTAAATTTACCAAAGAGACCAAAATTAAGAGAATTCCTCTTAAACTATCTTAAAACATGCTAAATAGTTAAAATCACAAAAAAATACTTAAAAATTACCGATTTTTTATAAAATCAAGCAAGTTTCTTTTAATTTATTTTAAAGCTTAAAATTACTTAAAAATTACTTTTAATTTACCAAATGTTAAAGTATTTAAAACTACCTTAAATTTACTAAAGAGATTAAAGTTTAAAGTAAAAAAGTTGATTTTAAAATTACAAAAAATTTACCTAAAAATTACTATTAATTTCCCATTAATTTATTGCTAAAATTACCTAAAACTTACTATATAGTTAAAATTACAAATAAATACTTAAATTTACCAAAGAGTCCAAAATATAGAAAATTCCTCTTAAACTATTAAAACTTTCTTTATACCCACTAAATACTTAAATTTACAAAAAATACCAAATTTTTCAAAAATTATGCACTTTAAATTTACCAGGCGTACTTAAAATTACCTTATATTTACCAGTCTAAAAATAAGGGAATTTATCTTAAAACTTGTTAAATGGTTGAAATTACCAAAACCTACTTTATGGTTGAAATTACAAATAAATACTTAAAAATTACCTTAAATTTACCAAAGAGTCAAAAATAAAGAGAATTCCTCTTTAATTATCTTAAAACTTACTAAATAGTTAAAATTACAAAAAATACTTTAATTTATGAACAAAAAATTACTTAAAAATTAAAAAAAATTCTAAAATTAAACAAATTTCTCTTAATTTATCTTAAAACTAATTACTTTAAATTTACCAGACGTTAAAGTATTTAATGACCTAAAACTTACTATATATTTAGTTAAAATTACAAATAAATACTTAAAACAAAAAAAAAGTATTTATATTTAAAGAATTTCCCTTAAACTATCTTAAACTTACAAAATATTTAAAATTATATTACATAAATTGTTTAAAGTTACCTTAAATTTACTAAAATTAAAATAAGCGAATATCTCTTAATTTATCTTAAATACTTCAAAATTACCTTAAATTTACCAAAGTTTCTAAAAACAAACGATTTTTCTTAAAACTTACTAAATTGAAAAATACCTAGAATTTTTCTTAAAACTTCACCTTAAAATTAATTTGCCCACATATATGTTAAAAATAATAAACAAGTTATTTTCTTGATTTATGAAAATAGTAGGTGAATGGTTAATATTGTCTTAATTTTTATCTTTACAAACAAAACAATTTTTAGATACATCTGGTAATGGAGAAGACTATGACAATGAGCAAGAAATGGAAAATTATCTCGTTTGTGTTATAGCGCTACACAAATTAATGCAAATCGAACAAGCTCTTATGAAAGACATAATTACTCCGGCACATCAACCCAGAGTTTTCGAACTAATTGTCCGGGAAGCAATGGATACAATCGTCCAGGACGGCGAAGTAAGTAAAAAACAATTTTCTTTATTATATGCAAAATTAAACCTATTTGAATTAACGCAAATGATTACAATTTATTAAATCATTTTTGAATGGAAAACAAAAAATCATGAAGTTTGAGTGGTTACACGGCATACTTATGTATGGCAAGCCGTTTTAGTTTTTATTACACATGGCTATCAAGTCCCATTTTAATTCGACTTGATTTCCATGAGACATTAGATAATTGAAATTATATGTATTTTCCTTAAGGGAAATTACATTTTAATTACAAATTATAAATAAAATTCCTTTTTTAATAAGCATTGAAATTTTGGGTACATTAAATTGAAAAGATTAGATGTAGAGGATGATTTACATTCGAAATTGTAATAAAAATATTAAAACATTTCATTTTTATTTGAAATAATAATAAAAATTATTTTTATGACAAATAGTAATTTTAATGCAAATTTCGTTAAGGAAAGTAGTTTTTATTATAACTAAGAATTTAAATGCATTTCCGTTAACGGAAATGCAATTTCCCTTAAGGGAAATATCATTTCTGTTAAGAGAAATTGTATTTCCCTTAAGGGAAATAGCATTTCCGTTAAGGGAAATTGGCGCCATCTATGAGAGGACGGCTGAAGTTCAAATAGTTAATTTTATCAAAATTCTATAAAATGAAATTATTGCACTGTGATTTTACAAAAGATTTATTAGTAAAAAGAATTTTTTTGATTGTTACCTTTTTAATTTAAAAACCAACCGTTACACCTGTTCACATCCACCCACAAAATATCACCTACCAGTGTTGCCAGATGTAAAAAGTGAAATTATCGACAAATCATCGACAAATTATTGACAAAATTATCGAATTGATAATGCTATAATAATAGTAATATTAATAATTATGGGTACTACTCGAGAAAACCAAACTCTCCGAATCGAATCGCGATGACACCGATCGACTTTGGAATCGCATCATTCGAATCGAATGTTGTGTGGCAACGCCGCATGTGTAAGGTGTGTTTTAACGTTTCTAATAAAGGATATTAAAACGAAAAGAAGTAGTAAATAGCAAACTGTAGTAGTAATATTGTTAATTGTGTCATATTTGTTGCATTCAAACAAAATGAAAGATTCTGGCGTCCCAACCAAAGTTGGCAGAACTCTGTAAGCGGTGGAACCTTCGACATCTTCACCACAGATAGCGCCACTAATTTCTCTTAAGGGAAATGTAATTTCTGTTAAGGGAAATAGCATTTCCGTTAAGGGAAATAACATTTTCGTTAAGGGAATTGTAATTTCCCTTAACGGAAATAGAAGTTTATTTTTGTTTAGTTAAAAATAAAAGTAATTCGAGCTATTTTTTGTACACATGATCATTAAGTCTCATTTTAATTCGATGTTATTTTCTGATTCTCTAAATATTGTTAGACTCTATGTATTGCGGTTCTAAATTTTATTCGGGAACAACATTTCAATGAGTATTTCAAATTAAAATGTTTTTAATTTTTATGTCATTTAGGAAAGTATAAAACTATATTTTTAAGGACAAATGCATTTATATTCGTAATAGTAATTTTAATACGTTTTATTTTAATACTTAGCCTGGTCTAACATAAATAAAATGTAACATTGTATCCAAGTCAAAAGCTACTTTAATAAAATTGAATTAAAATAAAATCCTTTTAATGTGTCATAAAATTGCTCCAAAAAACTAAAACAGTAAAAATAATTTGCATTAAAATTATAATTAGTAAATTTAATACAATTTCTGTTAACGAAAATTGCTTTCACGTTAAGGACAATATTTAAAAAACCAATGGAAATAAATACAACAAATGCATTATTTTTACTATTTGTAAAGAAAATATGCATTCAATTTTGAAATTATAATAAAAATGTAATTTCCCTTAAGGAAAATACATATAATTTCAATTATCTAATGTCTCATAGAAATCAAGTCGAATTAAAATGAGACTTAATAGCCATGTGTAATAAAAACTAAAACGGCTTGCCATACTTATGTGCAAAAACAAAGAAGTTGTAACAGAAAAACAAAAACGAATCGATGATGCATTTTCGAGGTATCTTCGTTGTTTCGAGAGATAAATATGCCGTGTTTGGGCTTGATTTTCAAGATTTTTTGGGATCTATGTCTTTGTGCTTGATTTTCAAGATTTTTTGGGATCTATGCAATAAAAAGGTTTTTACATGCAAAATTAAATCTATTTAAATTAACGCAAATGATTACCATTTATTAAATCATTTTTGAATACAAAACAAAAACTCATTAAGTTTGAGTGGTTACACGGCATACTTATGTGCAAAAACAAAGAAGTTGTAACAGAAAAACAAAAACGAATCGATGATGCATTTCGAGGTATCTTCGTTGTTTCGAGAGATAAATATGCCGTGTTTGGGCTTGATTTTCAAGATTTTTTGGGATCTATGCAATAAAAAGGTTTTTACATGTAAAATTAAATCTATTTGAATTAACGCAAATGATTACCATTTATTAAATCATTTTTGAATACAAAACAAAAACTCATTAAGTTTGAGTGGTTACACGGCATACTTATGTGCAAACACAAAGAAGTTGTAACAGAAAAACAAAAACGAATCGATGATGCATTTTCGAGGTATCTTCGTTGATTCGAGAGATAAATATGCCGTGATTGGGCTTGATTTTTAAGATTTTTTGGGATCTATGCAATAAAAAGTTTTTATGAATGATTACCATTTACTAAATGATTTTTGAATAGAAAACAATTTTCTTTATTATATGCAAAATTAAACCTATTTGAATTAACGCAAATGATTACAATTTATTAAATCATTTTTGAATAGAAAACAAAAAATCATGAAGTTTGAGTGGTTACACGGCATACTTATGTCCAAAAACAAAGAAGTTGTAACAGAAAAATAAAAACGAATCGATGATGCACTTTCGAGGTATCTTCGTTGTTTCGAGAGATAAATATGCCGTGTTTGGGCTTGATTTTCAAAAATTTTTGGGATCTATGCAATAAAAAGGTTTTTATATTCAAAATAAAACCTATTTGAATTAACGCAAATGATTACCATTTATTAAATCATTTTTGAATAGAAAACAAAAAATCATGAAGTTTGAGTGGTTACACGGCATACTTATGTCCAAAAACAAAGAAGTTGTAACATAAAAACAAAAACGAATCGATGATGCATTTTCTAGGTATCTTCGTTGTTTCGAGAGAAAAATATGCCTTGTTTGGGCTTGATTTTCAAGATTTTTTGAGATCTATGCAATAAAAAGGTTTTTACATGCAAAATTAAACCTATTTGAATTAATGCAAATGATTACCATTTATTAAATCATTTTTGTTTACAAAACAAAAAATCATGAAGTTTGAGTGGTTACACGGCATACTTATGTCCAAAAACAAAGAAGTTGTAATATAAAAACAAAAACGAATCGATGATGCATTTTCGAGGTATCTTCGTTGTTTCGAGAGATAAATATGCCGTGTTTGGGCTTGATTTTCAAGATTTTTTGGGATCTATGCAATAAAAAGGTTTTTATATTCAAAATTAAACCTATTTGAATTAACGCAAATGAATACCATTTATTATGTCATACTTATGTCCAAAAACAAAGAAGTTGTAGTTTTTTTGTTTTTTTAGAATATTGTAGCGAAAGCAAAAAAATGCATCCAACGTCACGATTTCGGTACGGTTCTCGTAGTGTTTCCCATATTCAAACAAATGACTTCCTTAAAACCGGAATTCGAAAAAACCGTAGAACAGTGCGATTTACACGTAAAACAGAAGTTTGATTCTATCCTCAAAATGCTGCAATCGACTGTAAGTATATAAAAAAATGTTTCCTTTTCTATTTGAATTTACCTAGGGTGTAAAAGCTTTGGAAGACTTTATCGAAAGCTTGAGGTCGGATTCCGTTACTCAATTGCCGAGTGACGGAACCGTCCACGAGTTAACCAGCAACGTCATAATGTTCCTGGAACAACTTCTCGATTACACCGACGTCATCTGCAAAGTGCTTTCCGAGGAGCAAAACTACTCGAGAGCTTTGGACAAAATGGTCAAAGGTTCCGACAAGGCCTTATTGGGACTGTACATAAGTAAGTTTGCACTATCAATTTTTTTAATGCTACCGCTTCATTTTAGAGAAGGTTTTGGTGCAGTTGAACCACGCTTTGGTCAGCAAAAGTGAGCAATACAATGACAACGCCCTAAAAGCTTTGTTCAGATTGAATAACAACAATTATGTGTTGAAGTCTTTGCAAAGAACGAATTTGCTGGAGCTCTACCTAATTTCTGAACCTAAATGTGAAGAGTATTATTACAAATCGATTCAGGATTATAAAGAAGCATACTCGCAGAGGTAAGTTATACACAGTTGAGTGATTTTTTCTTAAATCTTCCTAAATAGTTGAAATTACCAACAAAAAAAAAACACTTAAAAATACCTTAAATTTACCAGAGTTTCTAAAAATAAGAAAATTTATTTATCTTAAATGGTTTAAACTGAGAAAATATTACCTAAAACTTACTAAATAGTTAATAATGCAAACAAACTACTTAAAATTACCAAGGAGTTTTTTTACTTACTAATTAGTTACTACTAATACTAACAATTTCCTTAAAAATTACCATAACTTAACAGAGTTCTTAAAATTTGCAAATTTCTTTTAATTTTCCTTAAAAAATACCTTTAATTTAGGAAATCAGAAATATTTTGAATATAACTTAAAACTAAATTGTTAAAATTACCAAAAATTACCTAATAATTAAAAATACCTGAGCGATTTTTTCTTAATTTATCTATCTATCTAATAGTTCAAATTTCCAATAACATACTACCTAAATGTAAATTAATAAAAACTTATTAACAAAAAATTACCTAAAACTTACTAAATAGTTAAAATTACCAAAAAAAACACTTAAAAATACCTTAAAAAAACTTGAAAAAATTGGTGTAAAAAATATCGCATTGAGTTGGTTTAAAAGTTATTTATGTAATAGGTATCAGAGAGTAAAATATGATAGAATATTATCCAACAAAATTAAAACAAATCATGGTGTACCGCAAGGAACAGTCTTGGGTCCAATATTGTTTACAATATTTATAAATGATATAACCACATGTGTACAAAACTCTAAGATTTGTTTATTTGCCGATGATACCATGGTTTACATAATAGGAAATAACATTTATGATATGGTCACTAAAATTAACGGTGATTTAAAAAACATATATACCTGGCTTTGTGATAACAAACTATCGTTAAATGTAAACAAATCAAAATGTATTTTATTTGGCAGTAGATCTAATATATCTAAAACTAATAAAAATGCAATTCAAGTGCAAATTAATAATAGCCAAATTGAATGTGTTCCGGAAATAAAATACTTAGGTGTAATTTTAGACCAACATCTAAATTTTCAGAGTAATTCACTACAAGTAATGAACAAAATGTCCAAAAAAGCTTTCTTTTTAAGAAGAATTAGTAAAAACTTATCCCTACATACAAAGCTCCTTTTATATAAGTCCATAATTGTACCTCACATTGATTATTGTTCAACAATATTATTTAGTTTACCCTCTTATAGAATACAGGAAATGCAATGCATTCAAAATCGCTGTATGAGAAACATCTTACTTTGTAATAGATATACCCCCATTAATTTAATGTTAAGTGTTTTAGATCTAATGTCAATACAAAAAAGGATATTTTTTAATTCAATGTTATTTATATATAAAGTTAAAAATAAAATATTACCCGAGTACCTGTATAACAAATTAGAGTATGTGTCTAACCCATACAATACTAGAAATTGTAATAATTTTAATATTAAGTTTTGTCGTACCGCTCAAATGAGTCAATCTGTTTTTTCAAAAGGCTTAGTCCAATTTAACAAACTACCTCGAAATGTAAAGGAATGTGATGGCCTCAAAATGTTTAAAAAAACTTTGTTAAAACACATTAACGAATTAAGTATTTAATAGAGATTAAATGTACAAATATAATAGAAAAAAATTGTTATTTACCTAATGTTTATTTTGTTTTTTATATGCATATGTATTTATTTGTGTTGTAATTTTATAGCTTCTGCTAAATAAACGTTATTTATTATTTAAATTTGCCAGTTTCTAAAAATAAAAAATAAATTCTTTATTATTATTCTTTAAAATTGACAAAATATTACCTAAAACTTACTAAATAGTTAAAATTTCAAACAAACTACTTAAAAATTACCAAGGAGTTTTTTTTTAACTTAATAATTAGTTACAAATACTAACAATTTATTTAAAAATTACCATAAATATACCAGACTTCTTAAAATTGGCAAATTTGTATTAATTTTTCTTAAAACTTACTAAATAGTTGAAATTACCAAAAAAATACTTAAAAATTACCTTTAATTTACCAAAGGGTTTTTAAAAATTATTTTTAATATATCTTAAAATTTCCTAAATTGTTAAAATTACCAAACCTTAAACTTAATAATTAAAAATACCTAAGCTATAGTTTAGTATAGTTTTAATTTCCAATAACTTATTACAAATTACCTAAAACTTACTAAATAGTTGAAATTGAAAATAATTACCAGAGAGTTTCTAAAAATAGGCGATTTTTTCTTAATTTATCTTAAATTTACTAAATGTTTAACAAAAATTAGCACACGGACGTCTGCTGGCGTTTAATGACGTCTGCTGGCGTCAATTAAACTTACTAAATAGTTAAATTTACAAAAAAAAATAACAAAAAAAATTCTAAAATTACATAAAAGCCAGTCATTAAATAACCAAAAAATACTTTAAAAGTAAATAATTAGAAATGCAAAAAATTACTTATAAATTACCAAAGACCTTTAAAAAATAATCCAATTTTTTTTTAATTTATCTTAAAATTTACTAAATTGTTAAAATTACAACAAAAGTACCTAAAACTTACTAAATAGTTAAAATTTCAAAAAATATAACTTAAAAATTATCAAAGACTTTTAAAAATAAGCCAATTTTTCTTAATGTATCTACAAACTTATTAAATAGTTTCTAAAAATAAACGATTTTTTTCTTAATTTACCTTTTAACTTACTTACCAGACAGTTTCTAAAAAAGTCGAATTTATCTTAATTTATCTTAAAATCAACTTAATAGTGAACCCCAGGTACGTCTGCTGACGTTTAAATGACGTTTTCTGGCGTCATTTAAACGGGACATTACTAATACATTACATAAAACTAACCTAATAGTTCAAATTTAAAAAAATACTTAAGAAAAAACAACAAACTTTTTTTATTATTAATTTACCTTAAAACTCAGTAATTGGTTGAAATTGCCAAAAATATATCTATTAACTTATTTAATAGTTGAAGTTTCAAAAAAATTACATCAAAATTACCAGTTTCTAAGCTATTTTTTTAAATATATCTTCAAACTTACTAAATAGTTAAAATTACAAACAAATTACCAGACTTTCTAAAAATAGGCAAAACTTCATAAATAAAAACCAAAAACTTAAATAGTTAAAATTGTAAAAAATTACTTATAAAATACCAAAGAGTTTCTAAAAATAAGTCAATTTCTCTTAATTTTATTTAATAGTTTAAATTACCAAAAAATCACTTTAAAATTACCAGTTTCTAAAATCGGGAAATTTTTTTTATAATTTATTTTAAAACTTTCTAAATAATTGAAATTACAGGGTTATAATATTATATATTATAATATAATGTTTTTTAAGTAAATTTAATTTTTAGTTGGAATAAACTTTTACACTACATAAATTGTGATGACCCCATTGTACATGGGGACAAGTTAAAAGACAAGGAGAGAGGTGTAATTAAAGAAAAGTTTGCTGTGAGTTTGCAAAACGTGGTAGGTTTTTGTAAACTTTAATATTAATACCTTGTCTTTGTCAATAGGGTTTTAATAAAGAAATAGAAGAAATATCCAAAGTTCAAAGGGGCTACTCTGTCCCAGACATTGAGCTAAGGGAAAGTATCAAAAGGGACAATAAAGAATTGATTATTCCAAAGTATAACGCTTTCTTTAACAGGTAAACAAAAATATTCCTAGAAGTATTAATTTTTGATACACCTTTTTTAGGTTTTCCATTCTCCATTTCACCAAAAATCCAGAAAAATACATAAAGCACAAACCAGATGAAGTTTCTGCAGTTATCGATAGATTTTTCGATGTTGCTGCCTAAAAATTTAATATTATGTTTATTTTAATATGCATTAGATTATTATTTAAATAAAAACTGCACTATTTATTTACTAATAAAATAATCTTAAATATATTGACTCTCCCTCGTATTTTAGTAATTTGTTACATTTGAACTACTTTGATTAGGCAACGTTTGCACATTTTTATGCAGGATGTTATTTATTGTAGTAAGCCCTAATTAAAATTATTTGTGTATTTTTAATAATAACAAACATAGATAATGTAATTTTGTTAATGATATCAATAGTTCTTTAACTTATACGTGTTTAAATTCCAAAAATTTCTTTTCGTCGTACAAATCAAACTTAACATTGTGACAGAAGAAGATTAACCAAACTAACCTCACTTTTTTAATAACAATGAATTTGAACAAAATTCTTTACAGAACTATAACGACAAGCAAATCAGCAAGCAAAAAGGTAACGACGAACGACTTATCGTCGAAAAAACTTAAGCACAGCTCGCAACAATGGTTATCGAGGCAAATGTCGGATCCCTACGTGGACAAAGCAAAGATGTTGCATTACAGGTGCAGAAGTGCCTTTAAGTTGATTGAAATCGACGATAAATACAAGTTTCTAAAGCCTGGAGATACTGTTGTCGATTGTGGGGCCGCTCCTGGTTCGTGGACGCAGGTAGCAGTCAATAAAGTCAACGCCGATGCAGCTGATTCGAAGCTGAAAGTTGGCAAGGTGTTTTCCATCGATAAACAGCAAATATTCCCCATTAATGGGGCCGCAATATTGGGAAACATGGATTTCACGCAAACTGCGTCGCAAGAAGAGTTAAGAAAAGCTTTGAACGGCTCCAAAATAAACGCTGTAATATCGGATATGGCTCCCAGTGCCACTGGCATTGGCCAAATGGACAAAGAAAATATAATTCACTTGTGTTATTCAGTGTTGAGATTTGCCGTTTTATTGTCGGACATTGATGCTGCGGTTTTGGTGAAGTTGTGGCAATGTGGGGAAACTAAAAAACTTGAGACTGATATTGGCAAGTTTTACAGGAATGTTAAAATTGTTAAACCTAACGCCAGCAGAGCCGATAGTGCGGAGATTTTTATTTTGGGGAGGAATTTTAAGGGACTCAAGGTTAGCTGATAAAACATGCAAATTAAATTAGATTACTATGCAACTATATATTTTATTTTTTACCCTGTAAAAGTTTATAAACGTTTTGCATACTATACTTTTTCTATGAGAAATAGAAATGATTTAAACTTAATATTTGTATAAAGCGATCGACATCTATACGAAAATAAAGTAACCATCCCAATAAACATTTTTGACGTAATTTTCACCATTGCTTGTTATTATTTTAATTATTACTTAATAATTATTGATACTTAAAAATATTAAAATAACTTCAAAATATGATTATGTTAAGAAAATATGTTATCCTTGATTTTTTTTATTACTAAAATTGTAAAATATCACAAAGTATTAAAAATTCTTACATGGGAAATATACAAAAAGTGACAGTTGTAGGGAAGAGCATGTTTAATGGCCACTGTAGGCAAAATTTCTTAACGCTTTATCAGTTAAATCTAGTTTAATGCACTACTACACGTCATTTAAACGGGACATTACTAATATATTACCTAAAACTTTCTAAATAGAAAAAACAAAGAGTTTCTAACGAATTTTTCTTAATTTACCTTAAAACTCGCTAAATAGTTGAAAATATCAAAAACTTACTTCAAATTCAAGTTGCAAAAAATTACTTAAAAAATTACCAATTTCTAAAAATAAGCGACTTTTTTAAAATTTATCTTTAAACTTAATAAATAGTTAAAATTAAAAACAAATTACTTAAGGAATAACCATATAGTTTTAAAAAAGCGAAGTTTTCTTAATTTACCTTAAAACTCACTAAATAAATTATCAAAAAATTACTTAAAACTTTCTATCCTAAAAATAAGTAAAACTTCCTAAATAATTAAAATTGACAAAAAATACCTAAAACTTACTCAAATAGTTAAACAATTTTAACTATTTAAGTTTTAAAATAACTTTAAAAGTACCAAAGAGTTTCTAAAAATAAGTAAATTTTTCTTAATTTACTTAAGTTACTAAATAATTTAAATTACCAAAACATCACTTAAAAATTGCCAATTTACCAGTTGCCAATGTGTATTTAAAAGGAAGAAGAAAAAATTACTTAAAATTTTCTAAAATTTATAGGTATAAACTTTTTTATGTAAATAAAACAAAGTACCTATCAATTTTATAGTTCCTTTATTAATAGGCAAATAAAAAAGGTAAATTTATAAAAATTTAAAAACACATATTCCTTATAAATCCGTTTAAATTTGGAATAAATAAAAAAGTACATATCTATATACATTAACTTAAAAGGCTGTTCTTAAAAGCCGAATCATTGGATTCTATTAAAAATTAATAAAATGTTATAATAATAAAAATGTTTAAACACAACATTTTGCTTTGTTCCATGTAAACAGCCTTAATCAAATTATGGCTCTTTATATTATATTATAAGTAAATCACAGTACATTTATATTTATTTGGTTAACTAAATAAAGCAATTATTATAATTTGCTGCATGTACCGACTCAGTTCATCTCGACGCTGCCCACCCCCTCCACGTCCCCCTCCTCGGGGAAGATGGCCTTGAGGTGCTCCCTGAAATCGTACGTGATCAATTTGGGGGCCACGAAGCCGCCGAAGTGGGGCTGCCCCTTGTGGAAAATGCCCGCGCCGCTCAGAGGGGCGGCTATCAAGGATTGCACCGGTTGGATGTCGATGAAGGGTACGGTGGTTTGAGCGGCGTCTTTTTTAAAGTCGCTGTTAACGAATTCGACGTATTGGTCCGTCGAGGAGTCCGGTACCGACGGGGAGGTTGTGCGAGTGGGGATATCCGGTTGGTAGAGGTTAAGACGAGTTCTGTACGGAAAATATTTATTTCGAACGGTTATCATTGGAAATGTCTTGTGCTCTAAGGTTTATCCATGTTTTGTATACTCTAAGGTAACAGTACACAAACACTTTTTGATAACACTTTTGAGCCATAAGACATCTACAATGTCAAAAAATTAAAAATAGCACTATTTTCTATTTGTTGTAAGCAAGATAAATGTTTTTAAGAAAATATGTTTAATTGGCATACTCTAAGCCAAATAAAATAGTTTCTTTAAGAAGCAACTTTTTATATGCAAAAACCTACAAGGTTTTAAATTCCATGAAAATTGTGTAAAAACTAATTATTTACTACTTATATCTTTAAAAAACTCAGTTTAAATATGTCCCAGTACTATTTTTTTTTAGATTTACCACAAAATATAACGTTGTCAATCTAAGATCTTTTAAAATTAAAAGCAACTTTGGAAGTCTGCAGTTTTATTTGTTTTTAAGGAATTTTGAAAATAATTACATCTAGTGTTAAAAAATTTTATCCACTTTAAGAAAATACAAGTATTTTAATATAACCAAGTACTATTTTTTTAGATTAGCCACAAAATATAAAGTCTAGTCAATTTAAGTTCTCTTGATAAAGATCAACTTTGACCTGTAGTTTTGTTATTTTGTATCCAATTTAAAAAATAATTGTCAATTTAAGTTCTCTTGAAATAAAGATCAACTTTGACACTGTAGTTATTTTTTATCAAATTTAAAAAATAATTTTATCAAATGTTAGATAATTTCATCCACATTAAGAAAATGCAAATATCTTAATTTACCCCAGTACTATTTTTTGAGATTAGCCACAAAATATAAAGTCTAGTCAATTTAAGTTCTCTTGATAAAGATCAACTTTGACCTGTAGTTTTGTTATTTTTTATCCAATTTAAAAAATAATTATATCAAATGTTAGATAATGTTATCCACTTTAAGAGAATGTAAATATCTTAATATACCCCAGTTCTATTTTTGAGATTATCCACAAAATATACAGTCGTGTCAATTTTGGTTCTCTTAAAATTAAAAGCAACTTTGACAGTCTGTAGTTTTGTTATTTTTTACCCAAATTAAAAAATCATTAATCAAATGTTGGATAATTTCATTCACTTTAAGAAAATGTAAATATCTTAATATTTTTTGAGTTTATCCACAAAATATGAAGTCTTTTTAAATTTAAATTCTCTTAAAATTGACAGTCTGTAGATTTAATTACTTCAAACGTTGCCATCTTCTATTTTCCACCAGAGAATATATATAGAGAATAAACTATGTGCAAGTGCATTAATTTTCACTCTGGACATGCGCTAATAGCAAAGCATTTATTTATTTACTTACAAATGGACAGGCTTAATGGGCCCATGCAAACTAAAAAAATGCATAAAAAACATTCAAAACGCAACAAAAACAAACAAGGGGGAGAAACTGTTCTTCTTATCTCACAAATAATAAAAATGATAAGTATGAAATAAGAACCAAACTTTAGAAAAGGAGTAATTCAATGGTGAATAAATCTTACCGTGGATTTTTCAGCGAAGAATCCGTATTGGGGTTGTCTTTCCATATGCTTTTATTTACTGGGTCGACGAGAGTGCCATTTTTGAAATCGAAAGGCGTCAGTCGAATTTCAAAGTTTAAATGGGAACCGATTTTCTTGAATTTCACTCCTAAAACATTTTCGATATCGCATCAAAGTTGCAAAACATCCAAATGAATGTTTTACCTGTAACCAGCTGCCCCTGATCGCCCTGTAGATCGTCTAAATCCAAAGCGCGTTGTTCCCACGAAAGTTGATGGTAATCCTGCCCATTATGGACGTTTCTATCAGTGATTTTGTAGCCATCTACCGGCACCCATCTTAAAGTAGTTTCGTCGATTTTACCGAACGGTTCCAGGAGGCCTTCCTGTACTTGCAAATGAAACACGCGGTTCACTTTCACGAATCTTAGCCCTGTGACGACCCTATGAAAAAAGTCAGGTACTCAACAGGGTGAGTCTTTTAACTTTGAAATATCTCAGTATATAGTCATTTCAAGAAAAAAAAATAAAATAAAAATTAAATGATTTAAGGAGGGAAATAAATTATTCCCCATACTCCCATCCTTATAGGCAGGGCATGTGGTAACTTTAAAATTTTCAATGAAATAGCCTATTTTTTATTTCAGACTAGATGACCACCTAAAATTCTTTATAAGCGATTATTAATCCTTATGAACCTTTCAACTACAATTCATTGACCACTGTAAAACGACACAGAATTGTTTTCACAGTCGCTTAAATCTGTCAAGCTTACCTTGAGAACTTTACTATTTAAACTAATTTTCGTTTAATCTGAAGCGCAGCTACGAACGCCATCTATTCAAATTAATCCAAACTTGTACGAATTAGGATTTTCTGGCTGTTCCTTTCGGTTTTTCCAATGTATTTTTTATTTAAATCACCTCTGTATTAAGGCGAAAAAAGCAAACAAAAATATTTAAATCCTTTGAGACATTTCCGAGTTTAATGGTTATTTAATTTGAAGCGCATCTACGAACGCCATCTATTAAAATTAATTCAAAGTTGTACGAATTTCGATTTTCCAGCTGTTCCTTTTGGTTTTTCCGTAGAAAAATTAATGCAGAATCGTATACAGAAGAAAAATCCAATATTACAAATATGAAAAAAATTTTAGTCGAATGATCCGAACCTGCAATAAAAAATAGGGTGTTCCTTTGGAAATTTTAAAGTTTTTTTTTCGTAAAATTTACTGAGATATTTTAAAGTTTCAAGTTAAAAGACTCACACTGTTTAGTCGAATCTGGGAAATGAGAAACGTGTGTCTTGCTTTTTATTATTTTACCTGATTCCTACATATATGAATAATAAGAATTATTCATAACATAGGAAACCAAACCACAGTCTGCATTTTTTTTGCATAATTAATTAATTTCCTTTCAACTTATTTATTATTACTGCCTATTATGATTCACATTTGTTTACTTTAATTTATAAAACCATATCTCATTTTATTTATTATTATATTCAGCACTTTTTAGCAAAATTTTATAAATGATTCATTAAATCACATCATTTTTAAATTAATAATAATAATTAAAAACATGTTTTTAATAAACTAAAATTAACGTTTTTGATAACGAAATTGTTGCCAAACTAGATAAACTCTTAAAAATAAATAAATCAAACTTACATATTATGTGTCATATTGGACTCGACAGGTCTCAAATTGAAGAATCTGTCTGAATTAGGCCCGGCTTCGTCGCAAAGGCACATGCAGTATGAGCAGTGCCAGAAAAGCCAACGCCACCAGCTGTCCACTTTCGTTTGCCCCCTGAAACAGGCGGTTTCCCGGCCTAGGACCTCGCCACTTTCGTATTTAATGTATTCGTATCGGCGGCCGCTCAAAGGAGACTAAAAAGCACGTTGTTTTTGCCCAATTTTAAAAATATATTTTTTAGATGTTAGATAATTTTATCCACTTTGACTTAGAGATGTAAAAAAACGGTTTTTTTCAGATGTGAAAAAAAACATGAAAAAAAAACGGTTTTTTTTGTTTTTTTTTTCAAAATGAAATTTTGAGTAAAATGTATATTAATAATAAAGTGAAATGTAGAATATATTACATTTTTCATTATTGAAAATTTTGACCAAGACTAAAAATCTGATTTCTTATTATTTGGTAGTTTCCACATTAGAAACCAATAGCAATGTAAAACTTCTACACTAATACAAAAAATTAAAGGATAAAAAAATTTATTTGCGATTTTTCGGATAGCTGTATCTTTGTTAAAAATGGTCGTATTGGAGCCGTAAAAAAAGCAATTTGAAGCTTGAAGTTTATAGTTTTGAGATTTTTAGATGAAAAACGTGCAACGGTCAATCCTAACAAAAATCGATTTTTTTTTGCTTTCTTTTTTGGTCCATGGAATGTTGTGACTGAATAAAATTTAATTTATTTTAACATTTAATGTTCTACAAGAATTTGCTATTGTTTTTTTTTGAAAAAAAAATTCCATACTCTAAGTAGATGAATTTAAAAAATCATGAAAAAAGTATTTTTGGTAGCTTTTTGAAAAATCACTCGCTGAATCAAAAATATTATCTGTAATTACTTTTTTTAGGACCAAATCAAAACAAGCGCGGCCCTTATTGGTCAAATCGGTGGTTGTGGCGCGTGCATAGCGCGAGACTGTATTTATATTTACTAATTGTCATTTAGTGGCTAATTTTAGTCCATGGAAACATACAAAATTAGGCAAATGGGACTAATCTTGAAAAAAAACATAAAATGTGAAAAAAAACCATTTGAAAAAAAACAATGAAAAAAAACCTGAAAAAAAACAAAAAAAACGGACCGTTTTTTTTTCAAGTCGCATCTCTACTTTGACTAAATATAAATATCTTAATATGCCACAATATTTCAGTTCTTTTAAAATATGCCACAGTATTTGAGTTCTTTTAAAATTAACATCAAAGTCTGTAGTTATGTTACTTTTGAACCAATTTTAAAAATTATTACTTGAAATGTTAGATAATTTCATCCACTTTAAAAAAATGTAAATATTTAAGTATGCTTGAGCATTAATTTTTGGAAATACTTTATAAAATATAAACTCCTGACGTTTTCTAAAATCGAAATAAATTTGTATTGTTTTATTATTTGTTGTCCAATTTTAAACATAATTTTATTAAATGTTTGATAATCTACTATTTTTTCGGGATAATCTATAGAATATAAAGTATTGTAAATTTAAGTTAAATTAACACCAAATTTCTACATATTTCTAACGTTAGATTTAATGACAACAAATTAAACAAATTTCCAACGTTAATAAAAGTATATTTTATGGTATGAAAGTAAATAAAAAATAATCAGTACTTACTGCAGGACATATCCACATATCAGAGTCATAATACTTGCAGTTGAGAATTTTCCCAGCGCAATTTCTTTGCTGTCTGCAATACAGATTTTTGTAGCAGCCATAACTTTTCGTGTACTTGTATTCCGCGCAATTTTCCCTGCAAGTCCCTTCGTTGTTCATGTCGACCTCGTTTTGAACGTAGCCCTGCAGAAGTTGGGTCACTTCTTCGTAGGTTTTGCCTAAAAAATGGTTCAAAATTGATAAATTGGGAAAAAGTGAGGTTAGAATCGTCTGACAGATGTCAGATTTAATAGTGGTATACGAGGGGCGACCAAAATGATTTTTCATACCTTTTACGTGTTTTCTGGGATCGCATCTGTATAAGTCTCTGGAAAGACCTTCCATGGCCGCTTTGATCGCTCTAATAGCAGCATTGCTTCTAGATTCGAAACGTTCTTGCTGCTGCTGTGCCTCTTTAGTGAAATTGCCTTAAAAATTATTAAAACATAAGTAGAGTTTGGAAAAAAGTAAAACAATATTTATTACCTTCATTGTAAAGCTTTAATAACATATAGGAGAATTGTATCATTGTATAACCTTTTAACTCTGTAAGAGCAATGGAATTGTACAAATTATAGAGCACCTGTTGAGCTGACTGATTTGTGTCACATTTTAAAGTATCCAATTCCTAGACAAAAAATATAACATTTTTAATAAATAATTCAATATTTATTATAATAAATATACTTATGTATTGGACTGGGCCAAAAAAATCGACTATTTTTTTTGTAAAGTATATCGAAAATATTGTTTGGTGACAAAAAAAAATTATTGTGAAAGTTTGAGTCCATAATATTAATATTAAGAGGTCTATCATCGCAATTTTAGATTGTTTTTCCTGAGCGAGTTTTTGTCTCAGAACTCCCAAACCATTGAGTTTAACAAAATTGACTTAAAAATTGAATGCTCTACAAAAAAGGTCTGATTGGAATTTCCCGTCAGATGAACCGTTTCCTTACAATCGTGCCTTAAAAATTAGTATAGTTTTACAATTTCATCTTTTAACTTTGGAATTTTGAAATTAATGTAAAAATCAGTACCCGAAAAAAAACGATAGATATTCTTATGGGATATCAAATAATCTACAAAAAAAGTCTCTTAACATTTTTAGCTAAATTCACTCCATGAAGGTCAAAAAGAAATTGTTGTTATTGATAAAATTACTGAAAATTAAAAAAAAAATCGAATTCGAATTTGTTCGTTTTAAGAAGCTGTTTTCTTTAGAAAATATAATTTTCACTGTTATTTAATCGTTTCAATAATAACAATCATGTTGTTTTTTATTGGAAATTTTTCATTAGTTATATAATACACATTTGTAAAGAAAAAAATCAAATTATCATCTATAAAAAAATAAATCTACAGAGGAAAAAACAAGAATTTCGTTTTGACTTCAACTTTAACCTTGAATAACTTTTGATTGAGTGAATTTAGCCAAAAATGTTTAGAGACTTTTTTTGTAGAGCATTTGATTTCCCATAAGAATATCTATCGGTTTTTTTCCGGGTACTGATTTTTACATAAATTACAAAATTCCAAAGATAAAAGATCAAATTGAAAAACTATACCAATTTTTAAGGCATGATTTTAAGGAAACGGCTTATCTGACGGAAACTTTCATTTAGACCTTTTTTGTGGAGTATTTGTAATTTCCTTAAAAATATCTCTGAGTCAATTTTGTTAAACTCAATGGATTGGTAGTTCTGGAGAAAAACTCGCTCAGGAAAAAAAAATTTTAATTGCGATGATAGACCTCTTAATATTATATAATTGACTCAAACTTTCACAATAATTTTTTTGTCACCCAAAAAAATATTTTCGATGTACTTAACAAAAAAATATTCGATTATTTTGGCCCAGTCTAATATGTATATGATTTAGTTTATACGATTTTAGGTGTAATAGTTTGCCTTTTAGTTTTATAATTTACAATTAACCACTGTCCTTACTTGAGCCACTGTTCTGTAAACTCCATTGGCGACAATGCCCTCGATTCGGACCAGCGATTCGTCGACCCTGTTGTGGGGTTCGGTGAGTATTGCTTCGGCCATTTGCCGCCAGGCGGCGCGCGGCGACGGTACTTTACCGGGGGCCAGTTGCAGGTCCTGGAAGCGCCGGAAGGTGGCGTACATGGCTTCGACCGATACCAGATCGGCTTTCACCACCGCGAACGCCCACACGTTTTCCAGGGGGGCCAGGGCGGTCTCGTAGCCCCTCGGGCTCAGCTGCGTGACGGGTTTGGGGTGAGGTTTTGTCTCTTTGTTCAGCAAGGGGGAGGGTTTGTGGTTTTAAAAATGCTACAGATATTTTTAATACTACCCGGAAAAAAATGTTTTCTAAATGTAAAATACCTTTATTCTTAATAAAATTCACTTGATTCAAGTATAATTTGCTTAGGCTATGAATAAATTAAATTTCTTTTAAATATTAACCTATCCTTAAATTAAAAAGATCCATTTCTTAGCTTAAAATCAAGTACAGTTGAAACAAGATGATTGACCTAATATTGTCAAGGCTAAAACTAACATTAAACTAAATATTAATATTTCTTTAAACAAGCAGATCTTATTCTTGCCTGTTAAATGTTAAGAAAGACTTTAAATGAAATAATCTTATTCTTAATTTAAGATTAACAATCGATTAGACCAAATTTTTGAACATTTCCTCTATTCTGTTCTTAAAGATATAAAACTATACTGGATATAAATATATATTCTAAGATTAGTAAATATTTTTACCACTGGGCTATTCTTAAAAATATCCCCCACTCACAAAAGTGTCCGACATTTTGGAAGATTGTTTCTTGTGTTAGTTAGTATTTGGGTTGGAATTATGAAAGACCTACTAAATTAGTGGAATTTGATAGAATTAACCACCAAATGTATGTGTAGGTAATAATTATTACATAATTATATTTATGAGTGTAGTATTATGTATTGAATTTTAGAGTTTGGAGTGATATTAGGTTGGCCGAAGAACCACATAAAAAACAATTATGTATATTTTACCTCTACATTATAGGTTTTAATAAAAATTTTGGTTAAACAGGCCAATATAGCCAAAAAATGTCCGTCTCGCAAACAAAATCAACGTGTCTGAAGGTTTGAAAAAATCATTGCAGTATATATTATATACATATAAAGGTAGATAGGTAGATAGGTAGATAGGTATTTGAAACATTGTAAAAAAGTTATGTAATAAAGACAATGCCATAGACCAATATTATTTTTTTCGGGTTAAGTTAAGTAAGAATTGTTTCAAATATTATTTATTCTTTTTTTAACTTTTGCTCGACTTTAAAGGTTAGGATATAATGACATGTTTATTTTAAAAGGTAAAGAGTGGATTATCCTATCTATTTTTCTCTGTCAGTCTTAGAAAAATAAGAGAGCATAATCCACTCTTTACCTTTTGAACTAATCATAGATCATTATATCCTAACCTTTATTTAAAGTCAAGCAAAAGTTAAAAAAATAATAGACAATATTTGAAACAATTTTTTTTTAAATTTATTAATATCCCAAAAAGAATACAAGATTCCATAACAGGTGCTATGTATAGAAAACATAAATAAAATATATATATATATATAACAAATACAGTATAAGACTAATATAATTTAACATAATTTAACATTCAGGTACTTTTAATTATCACAGTGTTATCTTAAAGATATATAGTAGTTTTTAACTGATGTAGAGAAGGCTTCTATTGTTCTTTGGTTTTTGGTTGTCTCAGGGAGTATGTTGAACCACTTCAGGGCAGATTGCTTAACTAACATAAAGATACCTTATTTTTAATCCAAAAGAAAATATTGTATCGCCAAGACTTATAACATTTGTATCAAAAATACTTAGTCTTAAATTAAGCATAGTGTATATTTTATTTGAGGGTGCTTGCATTTAAAATAATGATCTCTTAAAATAAGAATAAGTTTTCCCTTGCACCTAACATTGAAGTTATATCCAAATCAGTATAGGTTAATTCTTGCATTCAACTCCCTATTTCCTTCAAATAAGTATTAATTTAAATGACAAATAAGAATAAATCAAACCTTAAATAAAAAGTATCTATACTTGCGGAATGGTGAGATGAACATATACTTGGACTAAGATTATTAATCTTAAATTAAGAATAGCTTTTTTTCGTGTATCAACGGTATTTGGGAATATTTTTTATTCAAAAATGTCTTTTAAACTTGTAAAATGTATTAAAATTCACTCAGAAATATCTAATAGTATGGTATTTCCATCTTAAGTCGACCAGGGAAAAGGGTGGGTCGTTATTTTTCAACGAAATTTTGTTTATAGTTTCTCTACCGAAATCAATGAGACCCGTATTTTTTCTTTTTGCTTAAATTTGTTTTGTTCACCCGTGGGAAATTTTTGAAAAATGGACAGAAACATCGATTTTTCCCTTTTTACGAGTGACATCTTTTCTTAAAAAATGCAATGACTTGGCCAAAACTGTTTCGATCGTTACAAATTTTTTTTAAATTGTAGGTAAGTGTTTAGTACCTACAAAAAAATATAAAAAATTAAGTGAATTTACTTTTTTTTAATTGTTTTTTCTAAGAAGGCAAAAATCGCATTTAAAACTCATTTTTGCAAGAAAACTTTCGACGAATTTTTGTATTATAAAGATAATTTTATCTTTTTTTTTATTAATCAATTAACTGTCTGTAATGTTTAAATATGTGTATTCATTAACAAATTTAAATAGAATATTCTTCATCTGTCTAAAATGCCTCAAATGTTATTAAAATGTATAAAAACGTTCAGGGGTTGCCTAATATCATATGTTAAGATTAAAGAATTATTAAGAAAACTGATAGTTTTAGTTAATATTGCAAAAATTACAGTGTTTTTATTCAGCTGACCTCCTTAAGGTATTTTTAAAGTGGAATGTAAGGTAATTTGTCACTTACGTATGTATCATTAAAAATTTCTGTGATTAAAATCATAAATATTTAGATTAAAATAACAGAAAATTGATGAATAATATTATTAAGTTTCTAGTAAATTAGTTATTTGAGTAGAATTTCTTACTTTTAAAGTTTTAAATGTAGAACGCTTTTAATGTCCAATATGAAAATATTACGTTTTATCTGCAGCAATAAACTAATGGTAATAAAGGTAAATTTTACCCCTAACAATTAAGTTCGTGGCGTTAAACTGTAGCATTTTTAAAACCATATATTTTTATTTTTATTATAATAATAATTAATATTAATAATAAAAATATCTTCAAACCCTTTTGAACGCCGTTTTACTTTTTATAGAACCCAGCGTCCTGTGTATTATTTAAATTGTTTAAAGTAAGCAAAAGCCTTAAAAACAATTTAAATGATACCCGGGATGCTGGGTTTAATAGAAAGTAAAACGGCGTTCTATACAACCCTGTATAATTTATACCTTGTTAATTTTACTCCCAAAATCTCCAAATTTTCTGATAACCTCCATTTCTGGCTTGCTTTCTTCTTTGACACCATTGTCGGCAACATCCAGTACATAATTCCACAGTTCATTTTCCAGCACAAGGAAATCGTATCTCAATTGATCGACGACACTGTATTCTGTCAGTTTGTTCTCATCTAGAGCACTCGTTGGTAATATTAAAAGCGCTGGTTGAGTTAAAAGTAGGAAAGAAAAAATCGCTTTTATGTTACTCATTTTTTTGTTTTATTGATACGCGCCCATTTGATAAACACTGGCTAGAATAAAATGGTAACTTTAGTTTTAGATTTAACACTTTTGTTGTTGTTGACATACCGAGCTAATTTCAAGGAAATATATGTATATGGAATCGGATTTAATTACTACCACTACTTCCTTTGAAGTTTAATAACATCCTTTTTTGATATTATTATTATCGGCAATATTTTTGTCGAGTTAAATTTTGTAGGTACAATAAAATGCATTAAAAAATACATGCAAAAACTTGGGCTATTATTGCCAGTTAAAATTGGTTCATTATTTTAATTACTGTATAAAGTGTTGCTAGAGGTCAATCTTGTAATAAAATGAATCATAGTAGGTATGCAAAAAATACTTGCTTTTTCTAGTAATTATGAAAACAAATGTGAGGCCAAGATGTTTTTTTCATTATGCCTATGTGTTTGTATATTATTATTTGAATCTTTGGGTTATAACTTATAATAAAGACAGTAAATTTTATTTAAATCAAGTAAGACTGTAATATTAATCAGCTGTGTTGCTGTTCTCACACAGTGTTGTCGAGTTTTTAAATACTGGGCAAAACAAACATAAACCTTAAGAAACACATTAAGAAATATTATTGTTGCTAAATATTGCAATGAAAGCAAGCACTGTTATTTGTTATGTAAGATGTTTAATATGTCATTAAACGAAACTGACTATTGGTTAAATGATATTATGAATATTGTTCTCATAAATATAACAATTTTGTTAAAATACCTAATGTAGAAGGAATACCTTGTAGCAATATAAAAATAGAAAGCAAAACAATTTTCCCTTTTTAAGTAACTATTGATTATTTGTATAATTTATATGAATTAGCTACTCATCACGATTTTATTTATGTTATATATACAGGGTATACCGAAAATAGTGTGCGGTTTTTATTTGTATAGAGAGACATCTATACAAAAATAAAGTAACCAAATCGATGTTAGGAATCTGTTTTACAGCCTGTCAAATTTTTCTGTAAAAATCGAAATTTATCCCTTGAAAGTGGACTAACAGCCGTTTAAATCCGATATGGAAGCAGTGAAAGTGAAGAGGATGTTTTATGGGTGCTCCACCCGAAATTTTTAAGATCATTAGTGTTAACATGTTTTATAGGTGGGAGTATAAAAGTCAATTAATCTTATACCTAAAAAAACCATGTTAAATAAATGTTTTTGTTTGTGTTATAGGTAGGTATATAATTACTAAATTAATTTTAAATGTTTTACATGTGTTGAACATGGTCATTAAATTAATTTGTTAATTGGATGTAGGTATTTTTTATTGCTTTAAGTTTATAGGTAGGTATAGGTAATAATAAATAATTATTTTTGATTTTTGATTTTTAAGACAATATTTATTATAAACTAGTTTCCAATGAACTTATTTCGTTTGGTTCCGCTATTTGGTGTAGATTATTTCATCATGACATAAACAGCCCTGTTTGGTATTAAAAAAATGTCTTCATCAACTTTTAAAGTTTCAAATTTATGCATTTTGTTGTTGTCAATAAAATATTTTACCAGGAAATGGTAATTCAAGATCTTAAGAACAAAGAAAATGTCAAAGCAGCATAGGTATTCTTATAAAAACAACAAATAATCAGTTTGAACAATGCAACAATTTAAAATCTATTAAGTGGACTTTAAATTAGAAATTGCAGGGGAGATAAATTGTCGCAAGGTCGTACAAACTATAATACATGTCGGAACAAATCTTGTTTTAGCGATTTTACGTAATATTCGGCCTTACATCAACGGTTCGTTTTATCAAATGTCAACAACCAAAACGTGTCAAACGTCAAAATAAAAACAGCCACAAACTATTTATCAATCACTTACATATCGTATATCCTCTACTGAACTATTTTATTTGCGGTAAACGATGATAACAAAACCGACCCGGTTGTTTACTCTCGCACTTGTAACATAAATAAATGTATTTGGATCGAGTCGACTGGACACACGAAGCTCTCGGATTGGCTCGACCGTTTTCTGCGGACGTCACAGACCGCTTGGATCGCGTGAAGAAATTCTCAAGAGCGCAGGATTCCTGCAGCAGGAAATGTTTGAAATTTTAACTTTTTGTAGACAGAGTGGCGACATCTGTGCGTCCGCGCAGCAATCAGCTGCAGGTCAGTGGCGGTTCGTTGACCGCTGATTTTGTATTTGAGAGGCTTTATTCTTATTATTAATGAGATTTGAATTGTTACCTGCTTCTTTCTAGGAATAAAGATCGGTTTACAAATCACAGAGTTGGTTATAAAAAAAAATTACATTTTAATTAAGATTAATTTCCACTCCAATCGACCAGGCAAAAAGGGGTAGGTCGTTATTTTTCAACAAAATATTTTTTACAGTTTCTCTACCGAATTCGATGAGAGCCGTATTTTTTCTTTTTGCTTAAATTTATTTTGTTCACCCGTAGGAAATTTTTAAAAAATGGACAGAAACATCGATTTTTCTCTTTTTACGAGTGACATTTTTTCTTTAAATGCGATAACTTGGCCAAAAATGTTTCGATCGTTTTTTAAATTGTAGGTAAATGTTTACTACATACAAAAATAATAAGTATAAAAAATTAAATGGATTTACTTAATTTTTTTTAATTGTTTTTTCTAAAAAAGGCAACAAAAACAATTGAGGTAAAAATTTTGAGATTGCCACATTTTTTTTAACTTCATATTTTTTTTGTTTTAAGTTGATAATATGAACAACTTTCACCAAAAGTCCCGAGATGGCTAAATTGGTCGTTTTGAATTATTATTTTTTTAATGAAAATTCCATTTTCTAGTAAATTAGTGGTTCATCGCAAAAATTTGGTATTTTGTCTAGAACCATGAAACTGGGGTGACCTTTATAAAGTACATGTAATTGAGAATTTTTTTGACATAGGTATTTAACATATTTTTGTCACTTCTGGTTTCACCGGAAAAGCTCTTAAGTAAGTAAATTAAATTATTAAAGATTTTAGAGTAAAATGTAAATTCTTAATATTTTTGCATGTGTTACTTGTAAAAAAAATAAAAAGTATACTTACGTTAATTTTGGTTAAAATAATAAAAAGTAGTATTTCATACCTAAAAGTGAATGAATCGAGTAAACAAGAAACTTAAGTTTATAATTATAAAAACGCGATTTGGAATAAATGTAGAACACAAACAATTCCGAAATAGTATGTTAAGAACTAATGTCATAAGACGTCAAAAGGTCTTATGACATGAGTTCTTTATTATCTATTTTGCAAAAATTCTATAAAATAAAATAATTTTATACCTTATATTTAATTTGGTCGAATTTTACTTTAGATAGTTGGTATCAGTCATTGGTTTGAAGGGTTAATGTCAAAATCGATTCGCCATGGCCTCCTTATACTTATTTACAATAAGCGGCTGTTAATGTTAAAGAAGAAAAAAGGATTTTCTTTGGATTTAAACAAAATTTATTGCCAGAAAAGTCTCGTAACTACTAGAAAAATCATAAAAATATTATAACCAATATGCAAAATTTTATTTTACTAGTATGCTGTTTAAAGTAGCACCTATAAAATCAAAATTTTGGGTGGGGTAAAGTACCTCATTACAGCCCCGAAAGCGGTGATACAATCAGGGTTGGAAAAAACCCGGTTTTCTTTTTAAATAAAACCCAACCCATTGGGCTTTTTTGGGTTTTATTGGGATTTTTAGTTCTAGATGTTAGTAAAAAACAACATTTAAAAAGAAATAGTTTAAGAAAAAAACACTTTTAAAAAACTCAGTGGGTTTTTTTGGGTTACCCACTGGGCAGCCAACCTTGGTTACAATAAAGTCATTAGGAACGCAAAATAGATAAAATTGTTAACAGATATGATTGAGGCAGTTGCGAAACTCTTTTTGACTGAGGCTCTATCAGAAAGGGAAATAAGTATTAAGCCTAAGAGGTCCAGAAACTAATGCGCAGAATAATTTAATTTTATTTAGTAGTTTTAAAACTAAAAATGTTGAGCAATTACTTACACTCCTTTAATTCTAACAACCTCAATTATTAATTTATTTTATAAAAAAATTTAGCGTTTATAGTAAAATAAAATGTTAATATTCACTTACTTACAAGCAAAAAAAAAAGGAATGTCAAATCTAATACTTCTTTTAAATACAAAGGTTTCAAAGCCTTCTTACTTTATTTACTTCTATATGTACAGTCTTTAAAACCTAATAATCATTTAAATTTAATTAAGAGTTTGAAAGCGATATTATTAAAAAAGCATTAATATTTGGTAGGTATCAAATTTAAAAAAAAGTGGATTTCTTTTAGGACCAACAAGCCACCCTCTTTCTAAAAAAATAGTTTTGGCATAAAGTATGGTGTTTCAATTTTTAAAAAGCTCCTAAAAACTAGCATTGCAAAAAAGAATAAAATTGTATTTTTTCATACTATAGTATTTTTGTATTGTATTTTCATTCATACTATAGTATTTTGTATTGTATTTTTTCATACTATAGTATGATATAGTATGAAGTATACTTGGCCCAACATGAAGCAGAAAAGCCAATTCTAGATATAGAAATAAAATTTAATTAAAGAATGATTTGACCTGTCAAAATATGTAAAAATGCATAGGGTATTTCATTAAAAAATAAAAAGTTAAGACCATTTCCGGTGGAACCGGAAGTGACAAAAATATATTAAATATGTCAAAAACTTCTAAATTACACTTTATAAAGGTCACCGCAGTTTCATGACCCTAGATAAAATACCCAAATTTTTGCGATTATCCAGGAATTTACTAGAAAATGGAATTTTCATAAAAAAAAATAATTCCGAAACGACGAATTTAGCTAACTCGGGACTTTTGGTGAAAGTTGTTCATATTATGAACTTAAAACGAAAACAATATGAAGTAAAAAATGTCAAAACGTCAAACAATTTTTGTTGCATTTTTTAGAGGAAAAAAAAATTAAAAAAATTGAGTGAATTCACTTAATTTTTTATATATTTTTTCTATAAAGTAAACATTTACCTACAACATAAAAAAAATGTAACGTTCGAAACATTTTTGGGCAAGTTATCGCATTTTCAATAAACTATATATATACAGGGTGTTCCGAAATTAGTGCACCATACTTTAACAGCAGATTCTACGTGCAAAAATAAGAAAAAAGTCCCTATAAATATAGGTCGAGAATTGCCTCCTAAGGGAGCTACAGCCCCCAAAAAGAGAGCCCCTAAAGATGGTTTTTATCTAATATAAATAAAAAAATAGAAACACCCTGTAACTCACTACATGAAACTGTCACCTGTCTTGAATTATTCCATTTTTTCCTAAATATGGCAGCCGTATTCCAAGGACCACGCGAGTCCATTTCTATGGTTGTGATTTAATTGTGAATTTTTATGCCATGTAAAATAATTTTCAAATCGATTTTATGCGAAAACGGTGTATGTTATCGAAGTTCAACAAGATGACCTTTTTTATGTGCAAAACTCTAAAATTTCATAATCTGACACCAAATTCTGGTACAAGATACGTACAAAAAAGTTAAGGTGGTTTTAACCCTACTTTCTATCAATCTGACCCAAACCTCATAAAAATTTTTAAATTGTTATTGTTACGTCTTATTGGTCATAAAAAGTTTAATTAATTCCCAAAATTTCACTTTTATATCTTTAACGGTTTTGGAGATATTAAATAAAAACCATCTTCAGGGGCTTTCCTTTTGGGGGCTGTAGCTCCCTTAAGAGGCATTTCTTGACCTATGTTTATAGGGACTTTTTTTCATATTTTTGCACGTACAATCTGCTGTTGTAGTATGGTGCACTAATTTCAGGACACCCTGTATATATATATATATTTCGGTAGAGAATCCGTAAACAAAATTTCGTTAAAAAATAACGACCTACTCCTTCTTGCCTGGTCGATTTGAGATGGAAATGCCCATATTTAATTAACATAAATACGTTGTAGTTAATTTAACTTCATTAAAACTTTATCAAAAAGCCATAAACTTTATTAAAACATAGCGTGGGTCATCAATCTGCATTATCTGTTGAAAAAAAAAACAAAGATATATGCATATCAAAATAAGACATTTTCATAGGGTGTTCCGAAACGAACTAAAACATTTAAATCCTGAAAATAAAACATAAATTCAAGTTCATATGATATTTTTGCTCTTTGATGATTATCAAAACTCCATATTACTTAAATTTGGAGTTTTTATAATAATCAAAGAGGAAAAGTTTAAACTATTACACCCTTTTATCAGTATAAAAAACCAACAACGAAAAAAAGAAAAATCTTCACTTACCTTCAAGTTTTCTGCTAGAATGTGCAACAAGCCCGTATCGGTGATTCCCCGGCTGCCGGGCGAGATGAACGCGAAAATCCTCTCGATCAGGTTCACCGACGAGCTGCTGTCGTGCGAGACGACGTTCTTCGCGAAATCCGACAACGTCGACTTCTCGATCTGATCGCGCTCGGCAACGTAGGCCTGCATCCGCCGGAAGTTCACCTCGATGCGCGTTATGTAGTCGTTGAGATCGTTGAGGCGCAGCTCGAGCTTCAGCTGCCCCGGCAGGTTGCGGATCAGCTGATTCAAAACTGATTCTTGGGCTGAAAGACGAAGATTTTGTTGCTAAGGCCGCAAAGGAAACTATCGGGTCGAAGTTGGGGTAAAATTAGGTAAGTTTTATGTCTACAAATTCTCTTATTTTTCAATTTCTTGCTAAAGTCATTACAATTACAGTTTTACTTTGACTTTCTTGGTATTTATAGATACTTGATACTACCTACTTGTTAAAGTGCTCTACTTATAATATAAATATTATTATTTTAAGCGTTTTAGTAGGTACGTACAAAGATAATTATCTTTGGGTACATACAGTTCTTTTTTTTATATAGACTATTTTTTTATTAAGTTGGTACCTAGTTTATGCCAGTTTGATTTAGTATTTAAAAAATGGTACCTGGTACCAGTGTTTCCAATGGTACTACAGTCCCATACAGCACAAGATGTCCATTGGACGTCAAATGGACTTACATTGGA